AGTAAATATATAAACATTAAAAAAAATCAACAAGTCAAAATTTGAAACTGACCTGATAATATGCCCTTAATAACTTAGATGTCACAGAAAGGAAACTTAAAGAAAAAGGCATAATGAATATTTATTATGTGGCAACATTTGTGTTTCACTGGGTGTAGTACTTACTCCTTTTAATTGTGTTAGTCTGCAATGGGAAATTTATGGAAATCCAGGAAACCACAAAGAAATTGCCTTGTCAACATATATCAAATGTCTTGGCAGAAAAATAGTTCTCATAAGGCTAATTCTTTATTCTCTGAAGAAGCAGTTGGCTTCTTCTGTTAAAAGTTGTTCCTGGTATATGTCTAGTTGATAGGCCTCTTGGAGTTTGACTGAATTTGTCTCATGCAAAGCCAAGGCAGAATACAAAAAGTAAAAAGTTGGTCTCAGATAGAATATGAGAATGGTTGATGATGTGACAGTGATTTTTATTGCTTATCAGAATATAATGCATTGAATGTGTATGTTTGGAATATCCTATACTTAGTTATTTGTTTGAATAGGTAATAATTCAATATTCTTAGGATCCAAGGCTGCTTTTTCTTAGTGAGGACATACCACAGGTGCCCATTTTAACTGATCTGTGCAGATAGCCATACTACTAATTCAATAAATTCAATGTAAATCCTGTAAGAATATCAAGTAAAAAGTCTCCCTCTGTTTTGTGTCATGGTCCCTTCTTCATTTTCTGTAATTTTCAATTAATAGGCAGAAGAGGGCCTCCCTGGTGGTGCAGGAGTTAAAGTCTCAGTGCTATCAAGCTATCACCAGCCACTGTGGCATGAGTTCGATTCCCAGCCAGGGAGCTGACCCACATGGCACAGCAGACCTCTCCTGTCTCGCCCGCTGCTCCCCCCAGCAGTGTCTTCAGTCCATCTGCCTGTTCTGCTCCCTACTCTGTCTCTGGCGAATCCTCTCGCCCCCTGCGCCTCTCGCCTATACCCCAGTTCTAGCATGCATAAGTAAAATAAACCTTAAAACAAAGGCAGAAGGGCTTTTCAACAGTGGCCTATGTGAAGTTGTGAAAAGGTGAGTATTTTAATTACTCCCAACAGTGTACAGCTGTGCAGAGCTGACAAATCTCATCCAAAAACTGTTTCGGGCATTCCTCCAGTCTTCCTTGGGAAACTTTCTTTTCCTCATCTCTTGGGTCACCAGAGTCGGTGTGCCTTTGCCCTGGTTTTCACTTGGGACCTTTTCCCAGGTGACATCGCCTTGACCCAGAGCACCATGCTGTGACCTGGGGCTACAAAAGCCCCAAGACAAATGTGGCAAATCTCCCGATAGAGGCAGTTTCTCTGGATGGTAAAACCGGTACATCACTTTTCTATGACATTTTAACCCACATGTTGCTTGAGTCAACTTAGCCCAGGGGTTTTAACCCTTAACAGGGTTGTGTAACCCTCAAAGTATCCATGGATAAATTTCAAAAGCTTTCACGTACTTCAAAAAGGAAAATAATCTTTATTTATATTAACCTCTCATTAAAATCAAGCATTTCCTCCAATTGTGGATGCAGGCAGAAATCACAGCCATAACTGCAGTATCTGTGACTTCATCGCTAGTGGAAATCAGATATCTTAACATTACAGTGCAATTGTTGCAGATATCTCACTATCTTTTCAAGCTTATCGCTGTTTCAAGCTAAGACTACTGTTACACCTGCTAATTGTTGCTGTTACCCAATAAAGAAACATATCTGTTGCTATATCACGAATTTGTTTCCACCCTCCCCTATCCTGATGGCTGTCTTGTCTTTAAAATTTTGTAACTGGCTTTCTTTATAGTATGATTCTTTTATTTATTATTTTAAAGATTTATTTTTTTAATTTAAATTTTATTTTTATATTCCCCATACAATTACAACCCCCTTATTTTGACCCCAATCCCTCCTTTCCCCGCCTCCCACCCCCCCCATAGAGTGTCTCTGGTTCATAGTTGTTTGTTGATTTTAATATTTTCTTTCTTATAGTTATTCTTTTTCCTGGTCCCTTATTTAAGTTTTCTAGATTCCTGCTATGAGTGAGACCATCCGGTATTTTTCTTTTTCTTTCTGGCTTATTTCGCTGAGCATGATCCCTTCCAGCGCCATCCATGTTGCTGCAAACTGCATGTGTTTATCTTTTTTGAATGCTGAGTAATATTCCATGGTGTATATGCACCACATCTTCTTGATCCAGTCATCTATTTTTGGGCATTTGGGTTGTTTCCAAAGCTTAGCTATTGTAAATAGTGCTGCTATAAACATGGGGGTGCGGGTGCTCTTTGGAATTGATGTTTCTGTGTCCGTTGGGTAAATACCTAGGAGTGGAATTGCTGGATCATATGGAAGCTCTATGTTTAGTAGGTCCAGAAATCTCCACACAGCTCTCCACAGTGGTTGGACCAGTTTGCACTCCCACCAGCAGTGCAGAAGAGTTCTTTTTCTCCACACCCTCGCCAACATTTGTTGTTGCTAGTTTTTTTAATATGTGCCATTCTCACTGGTGTAAGATGGTATCTCATGGTAGTTTTGATTTGCATTTCCCTGATTACAAGTGATGTTGAACATTTTTTCATATGCCTGTTGGCCATTTGCATTTCCTCTTCAGAGAAGTTTCTTTTTAGCTCTTCTGCCCATTTTTTGACTGGATTATTTTCTTTGTTGTTGCTGAGTCTCATCAGCTCTTTGCAGATTTTTGTGATCAGTCCTTTATCATTAGTGTTGGGTGCAAAAATGTTCTCCCAGTCGGTGGGGTTTCTCTTTGTTTTTGTTATTGTCTCTTTTGCTGTGCAGAAGCTCTTTAATTTGATGTAGTCCCAGCTGTTTATCTTTGCCTTCACTCTCACTGCTTTGGGTGATGTGTCTGTAAAGATGTCTTTATAGTATGATTCTTTTAAAAGCCTTTCAAAACTCTGTGCTGGAAAGAGGTCTATGGGCTTCCCCAGGACGTCCGAGATATTATTGTCACACACACAAAAAAAGTGTTAAGATTCCTGCCATATGCCATAGATTTGGATGGAAATAAAATGGACTCACCTTCCCCCTCACCAATATCCCCTCCTAAGTGCCTTCTGATCCCTGATGGCTTCCATTCTTCTTTCCAGGACCCACAGAACTTTCTACTTCACGTGCATCTCTCCCTCATCCGGCTTGCGCAAAATGGGGAGATGGGTCCTGCACCCGACTTCCCCTCAAACTCGTTGATAACTGACTTTAGATCCGGGGAGGCAGTGCCGAGGTCCTGCAGGCACCAGGGCGTGCGCAGCGCGGGGAGCACTGCTGCATCCCTGATGCTGAGAGTCCCTGAGGCGCGCTGGCCACAGGGAGGCGAGCTTGGTGGGCAGGTGGCAGCCCTGCCAGGGATCCCCCTCCACCTCACACCTGTTCCTCCCGGCTGCTGCCCAGACCCAGGAATCTGATGCGTCATTTACTCGGACCCGTTTTGCCTGCTCTAGCTCCCTGGCTGGGGATAGAACCCCCATCCTCCTAGCTAAGCACAGAAGATCTCGATTGCGTAACAAAGAGTTTTCACCCTAAGGGCAATGCTGCCAGCAGTGCAAGGAACTATTATTTTTCTACATTTTTGAACAATTTATATGAATTTGATTGTAAAATAGAAAACTTGAAAGATGTATTGAGCTCATTGTGGCTGACTTTGCTTTTACTCTCCTTTACCATCAGAATTTCTTTGGGAATGTTTGAAAAACATTGCTTCAGAACTTCAGTGAGGACAGACTGACAGAGGGCAGTCAAATACATATAAAGCAAAATCCCGGGCCTCCCTGGTGGCGCAAGGGGTTAAGAGGCAACCTTTGAAGCTCGCCACAGCCACTGCAGCATGAGTTCGATTCCCAGCCAGGGAGAAACCCACATGGTGCAGCAGACCTCTCTTGACTCGCCCGCTGCTCCCCTCAGCAGTGGATTTCAGTCATTCTGCCTGTCTGCTCCCCACTCTGTTTCTGGTGAACCCTCTCACCCCCCCACAACTCTTGCCTGTGCCCCGGTTCTTGTATGTATAAATAAATAAAATTTTTTAAAAATAAAATAAAATAAAATCCGAATGCCTTACAGACACCACTGTTTATCTCTCTCCAGCCTCTTCTGGCCAATCTTCCCCTTATATTCCAGCCAAGTTACCTTTTGAAGTATCTAGAATACACAGAACTCTTTCCAGCCACAGGACATTTGCACTTGCTGTTCCTGTCACTTGGATGCTTTTCTGCATTCGTGACTACCCCACTTGACGCCTACTTTTCCTTCTGTTCAGAAGTCACTTCCTCAGGGAGACATTTCCTGACTTTTCTTCCTGATAAATTCCCCACCTCTATTCTTTTTTATCTGGACACTTCTGCTGTGTCCCTCACATAACCTCATTATTTTATTTGTTACATTTTAAAATGTTTCCCCATTGGACTGAAAGCTGCACGATGCTATATAGGAATGGAGACTGATTTGTTCATGGAAAGCATTCCCAATTTGTAGCATAAGCTGGGCTTTTAGTAAGATCTCACTTAATACTTAATAGATGAGAGGTTAACTTGAATGTAAAGCAAGCCCATTTCAATTGTTCTGTTTATACAAGGGATTCCTGCGGAAATACAAGATTTGTTACCAAAGGAAAGGTGTTATGATAGCAAAAATTAAAAAAAAAATTTATCTGATACCTGTTCCAGTTAGCTCCTTCTGGTCTGCTAACCCAGAGAGTTGGTCCGGCTCTTTTTGAAAAAGGTTAAAATTTAGCCTGCAGACAAAAGATTGCCTTTGGGGAGATTCTTTATAAGGTCTGTACAGCCAGAGAAACCAGCTTTGAAGAGGTAAATGATAAATTCGAGATACATTTAATTTCCCAAATTCTAGATTCAGCACAGCAGAGAATGATTTGCACAATTCATAGAGTCGACAAAGTTATAGTCCTTAATTGTTTGATAACTTTTGAATTGATTTTCTTTTAAACTAAAGTTTATTCTTTAATCCACAGGTCACAGTTTTTATCCACGTGAATGCACATGGCTTTCTTACGAAAAAGTAAGGCTATAACTTTTGAAATTCGATGAAAAAATAAATAATTTGAAGGACTGTTTTGATGCTCAGTCTTGGCTTTTTGATTTTTATGAATAGTTTCCAACAGGCAATTTTTGGCCTCTTCATTTCAGAGTGATTCCTGTGGAAAGTTAAATATTTTGTTTACAGATGGACATATCAAGAGGGAGGTCGTATATTCCTAAAAAAAAAAAAAAAAAAAAAAAACTCGCAAAAATCTGCTTTTCCATCAAAATAAATATTCATGTTCCTCTCTAATTTAGCATTTGTAATTCTCTATTCTTAAGAGTCACCTTATAATCCTTAAACCCCATCAAAACCTGGATTTGTCCCTGATTTTAAATCCAGTAGTTTGTGAATCCGTGCGAAAAGAGAGCAATCAAAGTGTGTTGCTGTTACTCTCAGGGTAGCACTGCCCCATGTAACAAATAAAAATACATGATGTGCAGTTAGATATGGATTGCAGATAAACTACAAAAATTTTTACTCTAAGTATATCCTAAATATACTCACCTCTTACTCAGGACAAGAATTTTCTGCACTTTATTCTTAACTAGTGGTTGAATTAACTGAAAAACAGCCGTATGATAGCAGCTAAGATCTTGTACTCATAAGTACTGGTTGATCATAGGGATTATTTATATGTGGGTTATTATTAGAAACAAAGTGTTCATCCACGGGCAAAGTTAATGTTGTAGACTCTGCCTTCAGACTGCCTGGATTTAGCTCTGGATCCTCCTTAACTACTTCTGTGTATCCAAGAGCATCAACGATCATCCCAGGCTATCTCTTAACTGCACATGCTCTGTGCTAATGGAAAGGTTCCAGGCCAGCTCCTGGCATGTCAGGGAAGGCGTTGCTCACACAGCTATTCTGAACTTGTCCACAATTTCAAGTTAAACTTGAATGTGTTCTATTTTTATTTCAGTTAATCAGGTGTTGCTGTTTCTTCTGATTGTGACTGTCTGTGGGATTCTGTATAAGAAAGTTCATAAAGGGATGGTGCTCAAGAATGAAGCAGGTAGGTGAAGGGAAATCAGCCAGTCACCCAGAGACTGTGAGACTCCCCTATAGGAGAGTATCTGTTGGTCCATCCATGGGGAGCCAGGGGTCAGAGATGGGACTCTGGGAAGTTTCAGTTTTACAGGATGAAGAGTCCTGGGGATGGATGGTGGTGAGGTTCATATTACAGTGTGAATATTTAACACCCCTGAAACTGTGCCCTTAAACATAGTTAGGATGATAAATTTTATGTTAAGTGTATTTACCACCATAAAGAAATTTATTTTAAAAAGCATGAAGAAGGTCAGCATGAATCCATCCAGATGGTATATCTAAGAAAGTGGTTTAATGTCCCCCTTTTTGCCCTTTCAGTCTCTGGATTCAGAAACAAGCAACAAATCGGGCAGCTGCACTCTAGAATGATCAGTGCTCCTCAGATGTTAGCATGTACGGGAATCACAGGGGGCTTGTTCAAACACACAGTTTTGGTTTTAATCAGCACCTGAGGATTTTCATTTCTGATAAGCTCCCCATGGTTGCAGCTGCCTTGGTGTTTGCACCCCACTTGGAGTGGCCTGCTCCCTAGCCCTCCCTTCAGAGTTGCTCAAGTATTTTGCTCTCCCTGCTGGTTCACCCCTATTAGGGCCCCAGCTGTCTCCTAACTCTCAACTTTAAAAGGATTCCGTGTTGCTCTGGGGAGCCTCTCCCAGTTGCTCCGAGGTACCCCACTTCCCTCCTTGGGGGTGAATTTGTGAGATGGCAAGCTCAGCTCACACTGTCACGCCACACCAAGACTAACAAGCACTAAACTAGTATGGTGTTTGTTATATTTTTAATATTAGCCAAGCTAATATACCCACTTAGGGAAAACAGACAAGGGAAAAATATTACCTGTACCTGTATCAGCCAAAGACAAGTACAGTTACTGTTTTGTGTGTTACATACATTCATTTCACCCTTTTTTTCTCTTAAGTGAGAGGATTTGGAGACACATAAGTGAACAAAACAATGACCTCGCTCTCGCCCTGTTGAGATACAGTGATGCCAGAGCATGCTGTTAAAGATCAGGATTTTATATCCTCGCCAAAGCTCAAAAGAATAATGAATTATTCATCTTGTATCTGAATCATGCTTTTTCATTTATCTCTTTTCTCTTCCTATGAGCTTTCGAGACTCTTAACTAGGGATGAATAAAGGAAGGAAGATCACAAGCAGCCTGCTTTAGAGCAGCACAGGCAAGGTAGATATTCCATTTCAGGGGAGAGTTGAGGAATTGTTGAACCAAGGGAGAACTTTTCAGTTCTTCACATGTTTTAACTATGTGATTGCGAGGCTAGCCTACTGACTTCTGTAAGAAAGCACCAAAATAATAGTGACTGAAGCAAAATAGAGGATTTTTTTCCTTTTATTAATTTTTTAAAATTTGTTTACATTGCAGTTACTTTTTGTACAGTATTTGATTTCTCCCCTCAAGTGTAGTCCTTGTAAATATTCCACCACCACATCACCAGTGAACTATCCCCATGGTCTCGTGTGCTCTTCTTACCCTGTTTTGATACCTTTTCCTCCCCATCCCCTGCTTTAAGCCTCAGATCTAGAGTTGCCCTCAAGTTTTGTCTTTTTTTTTCTTTTTGATGCACAAAATAGAAGTTTACTTTCTTTCTCAAGGGATGTCTGATGTGCCATCCAGTCATCCAGGATGCAATCATCTAGATCGAGATTCTATTTTATGGCTCTGTTGTCCTCAACAAGGATTTTGCATCTCATGGTCCAGGTGGCTGTTCTAACTTCAGACATCATCTCAGCACACCAGTCCATGGCCAGGGGGAAAGAAAGGAAGATAATAAGTCAATTTCTTTAAAAGCCAAACCCTGACTCTGTACACACGACTTGCACTGACATCCCATTGGTCAGAACTTGATCATGCAGAACTGCAAGGGAGTTAGGAAAAAGTATTCTTGGTGGTTGGCTCTGCATGGGGTAAAATTCCAACATTCCATTTCTAAGGGAAGGAAGAGAAACTAGATATCGGAAAACAATTGACAGTCTCTTCTACACTATGCTATCTTCACTCAGGCGCGTGGAAGACAAGTTAACTGACTAACAGTGAAATTCCTTCATGTTCCAAAACACTGATTTTGATGTTTCCAGAGGATGGCTCTGAGACTCCGGAGGAGATGGAGGATGAAATTCCCGTGGTGATCTGTGCAGCGGCAGGGAGAATTGGTGCTGCCATGGCTGCCATCAATAGCATCTACAGCAACACTGATGCCAACATTTTGTTCTATGTAGTTGGACTCCGGAATACTTTGTCTCGAATACGGTAATCTGTACTATTGACTAGGAGTTTTCTATTTTCATTAATCTTCCTTCTTCCTTTTTTAAAAAAAAAAAAGATTTATTTATTCATGCATACAAGAACTGGGATGTAAGCCAGAGGTGCGGGGGATGAGAGGATTCACCAGAGATAGAGTAGGGAGCAGAACAGGTGGATCTACTGAAATACACTGCTGAGGGGAGCAGCGGGCTAGACAGGCAATGTCTGCTGTGCCATGTGGGTCACCTCCGTGGCCAGGGATCGAACTCGTGCTGCAGTGGCCACCTGTAGCTTAATAGCACTGTCTTTAACCCCTGCGTTACCAGGGAGGTCCCTCTTCCTTCTTCCTTCTTTATCCTCATATGAATTCTTTTCTTTTGGCCTGCTAAATGTTATACAAATTAATGAGGGGATGACCTAGGTTTGTTTGGTCAAATATGTTGACAAATTCATTGCCTAGCTGAGGAAATTAATTTCTTATTAATCTGGTAAGGCAATGTATCATTTTGCAGAAACAAATTGTCTAATGAACTAAAGAATGCCAAACTTTAAGCACTAATATGATATTCTTTCTTTCTACATGGCTTCTTTCTTCTCTGTTTTCTTAATCAGCTTACTATGGCTCATAAGCATCACTAATTATAATTTTTGACTTGTAAACTGATCTCTTTCCTATCATATACTATATTAAAAAATAAAATGTAGTTGGAATTAGAAGTAAACATAAAATCAAATTTTAAGTGTATTGTTAAAATGTAGGCTATTTGTATAATTTTTGTATGGAGAGTGCCTCCCTGAGCCCAAAAATCATAAGAAAAAGCCAACAAATTTGACTGCTTAACATTTAAAGGTCTATAATGATGAAAAACATAAGTAATACTAATTACACTATAGATTAAGTAAAGTATTACCAACATGTATATAGACAAAAGGCTACTCCCCCAAGTATATAAATAATTATTAGGAAAAAAAGCTTTGAAAGTATAAACATTAGTTGAAAACTGAACATAGAACACACAATCACAAAAGAAAAAAATATGGTCAACAAATATTCTGTGTAACTAATACAGAAGTGTAAAGTAGAACAGCAATAACATTGGGACGGTAAAAATTAAGAACTACAGGGCCTCCCTGGTCGTGCAAGGGGTTAAGACACAGCCTGTGAAGCTGTCCGCAGCCTCTGCAGCACTAGTTGGATTTCCTGGCCAGCCAAGGAGCAACCCACATGGCACAGCAGACCTCTCCTGACTCACCCACTGCTCCCCTCAGCAGGTATTTCAGTCAGTCTGCCTGTTCTGTTCCCCGTTCTGTCTCTGGTGAATCCTCTCACCCCCAACACCTCTGGCCTGTACCCCAGCTCTTGAATGAATAAATAAATCAATCTTCAAAAAAATTAAGTAGTACACTATTCAGGTAGGAAATTGGGTGTATTTATTCTTTGTTTATACCAAGTACACTTCGCAAATTGGATGGTATGGCAGTATCTATGAAAGGGTTATAGGCATATATAGTTAGACTCATCATCCCATTTCCACGGCTAAGGATCTGTGCAACAGAAATTCTAGCACATATTACCAAAACATATGTACAGCAATGTTAATTTCAGCATTGTGTGAAATAGTAAAAAAATGGCAAAGTGCTTAAATGTCCATCAATGGAAGAATATTTAAATGAAATATGGGATATGATCTGACTGTTAAAAAAGAGAAAAGGCAATCTGCATACACTGACATGGAACATTCCCAAGGCAGATTGTGAAGTGGAAAATGCCTGTTGCTGTACAACTCATGTGGAATGATCCATGGATGAATGTCTTTGGGCTGCCGGAGCAGAATACCATAGACCCAGTGGCTTATCAACAGTAGAAATTGGGGCCTCCTTGGTGGCACAGGGGTTAAAGACACAGTGCTATCAAGCTATCGCAGCCACTGCAACATGAATTTGATCCCTGGCCAGGGAGCTGACCCACATGGCGCAGCAGACCTCTCCTATCTTGCCTGCTGCTCCCCTCAGCAATGTATTTCAGTACATCTGCCTGTTCTGTTTCCCACTCTGTCTGGTGAATCCTCTCACCTTCTACACCTCTGGCTTACACCCTAGTTCTTGTATGCATAAATGAATAATAAATCTTAAAAAAAAACAGTAGAAATTGATTTCCCAAGTTCTGGATTCTGTAAAGTCCAAGATCAAGGTGCCAATAGATTTGATGTCTAGTGAGGGGCAGCTTTCCAACGAGAACTCACTTTCTGTTTGATGGAGGCTGCTCTGGACTGGGTCTTGACAAGAAGAAAGGGGTGAAGGAGTTCACTGAGGTCTCTTTCACAAGGCACTAAACTCATTGACAAGGACTCTACACTCATGCCCTAGTCACCTCTGAAAGCTCTCACCTCTGAATACCATCACATTGGGGATTAGGTTTCTATTTATGAATTTAGGACACAAGAAGCAAACACAATTGTCAGCCTATAGCAACAAAGAACAAAAACGTCAAACTATAAATGTGAACATGTACATATATGTGTCTCTGTCGAGGAAAAGACCTCCAATGGGAAACTACCCAACTGCTAACAGAGACTATCTCAGGGGAGGGCGGCAGTTGAGGTAGAGGAATTGTGGGAGCAGAGAAAAAGGGATGTTCAAGGCATTTTGGTTACTTCCATGGCTCATAAGGAGAAGGTATTAATGAATATATTTATGGACGATTTTTACAATGAACTGTGATAATACCCTTAGACTTTTATCCCAGTCTAAATGTACTTTGGCTGCTGAGGATTTTCTACTTTTTGCACTTTCTAGGTTTCTCTGTCTCAATTCTCACTCTCCTTATCACTTATTACTGCCAATTATGTCTTCAGCCTGCCCTTTACACTCCTTTAAGTATCCATGGGAAGAAAACCAGATAACCAAACCCAAAAGGATGATATGTATAGTATGTTCCCAGTAAGGGTTTATGCAAGAACAGAGAGCCTCAAGACTTTATGACATTCAAACTGTTTCCCAGGTGTGGTCGTCTAATTTGCCACATCATTTAAGATATTTTAAAAACTTTTTTCATTGATGTATAATACAAACTTAGAAAATTACCTAAATCCCTTGCTCAACTTACGAAATCATCACAAAGCCAACAGATCCTGGTAACAGCAACCATTTGGTGTGTCCAGATTTTCAACTCTGCTATCCTGATGGGTGTCTCACTCTGCTTTTAATTTAAAGCTGCTACTAAGGCTGAACATTATTTTGCCCACCTATTTGTGGGCCATTGGATGTGCAAATTCAAGTCTCTTGCCTATATCGAGTTGGGTTGTCTAAATCTTTCTTACTGATGTGAATTTTGGGGGGGCACTTTTATTGATGTGTAACATTGTGTGATTGATTGATTTTTATGGTTCTAATTTTGCAGATCTAATATTTGTTCCAAAGAATTTGCTCTTTTGTTGCTTTTTAATCAAGCACAAATGCTACCCATGTGAATTTAGTCAATGAAAATTTTATTTTGAGGTTATTTCTACCAAGAATCTTGTGATGAATTGGATGAAAGAAGTTTTTTTTTTTGTTTGTTTTTTTTTTTGTTTTTTTTTTTTATGGCTGAGAAAATGTAAGAGGAGAGGCTGGGGAGCAGGAGGAGAAAGCAGGAATGAGGACAGATGGGGAAAATTGAGAGACAGAGACAAAGAGACAAAGGGAAATTCAAATCATCCTCGGAGTCAAAACAGCAGAATTATAATGACTTCATTCACAGGAGAACATTCAGCATGTCCTGCTTCATAAAATTACAGCACTGTTAGCACATGGTGAAGATAGTACTGACAACCACAGATGTTGCTTTATAAGAAAGAAGGGACACTTTTTGTTCTTTCAGTTTCCTGTGGAGATTATGTGGATCTGGGGGAGGGGTATTTGGTTATTACTCTCTAGCTTCACTTCCTTTGCAGAAAGAGTTAGAGTTATGTGAATATAAATAAAATATTTTTAAAAAGGGAAAGATTTGAAGTCAGACCAGATTGGTGGGGGGAAGCAGAAGGATTTATAGACTAAGCTCTACTAAGACTACACACATTTTATTTTTAACTTTCTAAGGAAGTCACAGATTGACTCTGAGGCAATAGGCAAATTGAGGTAAAGTTGGGGGTGCACTAAGTGTTTTTGTCATCTCTTTAGCACATGGATTGAGCACTCTAAACTGAGAGAAATAAACTTTAAAATTGTGGAATTCAACCCAATGGTCCTCAAAGGGAAGATCAGACCAGACTCATCAAGGCCTGAATTACTCCAGCCTGTGAGTAGGAATCTCATCATGGTGGGGACAGTCCTGGGGGAGAACCTTGCTCAATGTGGAACAGTAGTCACTGGCACACAGATAGAATATTCCTGAAGCCTCCCAGTTAGCTCTCCACCAAATTCCCACTTATTTATAATTTATTAGCCACCTGCACCAGAAAGGATTTAAGATGGTTTGCATAAATATAATGAAGCTTAGAAGAAATAAAGTATAAAAAAACACAAGATGTATCATGTGTATGAACGTGGGGTGGGGAACTGGGAGTCACAGAGGGAGGCCAGGAAAAATATCCCCAAGTCACAGGTTGTGGGTGCTGCAGCTGGACATTCAATTTAACTTGGAACATCCTTGTAGCTAAGGAAAAATAGCACGGTGGGTTTTAGACTCCATGGAACTGACTAAAATAATATTTCCAGGAGACACCAACTTTTCCCCTAGCATCGGGAATCTTAAGTTATTTTATTCAAAATTCCTACAAAAGAGTCCTCTTACTGAAGAGTAGTGTTTTTGATGGCAGAAAATGCAGCATAAAATTGTAGTTGTTACTTAAATCCATCCTTGAAAAGGCACTAAATTCTAAACCCTCATTACATGGTCTTTTCCCAGTTCGGGAGATTTATTATCAGAGTGAAGCTGAGTTGGGATTTTGGATTGAACAGTCATATGACTATAACCCCCACCTGCTGCCATGCCTCTCTGACTTCTGTCTGGTTCAAGAAGTTAAGAGATTGAATATGTTGGGATGATGGTTGAGTGGGTGCATGGTGTGTGCATGTGTGGTGTATGTGTGTATGTGTGTGGTGTGTGTGGTATATGTGGTGTATGTGGTGTGTATGTGTGTAGTATGTAAGTGTGGTGTGTGCACGGTGTGTATGCATGTGTGTGGTGGTATGTATGTGTGTGGGGTATGTGTGTGCCTGCTCCTGCTCATGCCCTTGTGTTTAAGGCTGATTTCGTTCACAACCCTCAGAATTGCTGAGTAGAGGAAGGAGGGTCATCTGTGGCCTAACAGACTGACGAGGGAGATTCCGTGACTCTCGGCTGCAGCAGTTCAGAGATGACGGTGGCAGAGTCTCAGCCACCTGGGGTTTGCTCCTAGAACCACTGACTATCCAGTGCTGGTTTCAGCTACAGATGAGTCAGGTGCCAGAAAAAAACTCTGGGGGGCATCCCCTCTTCTATTGTTCTCTAAACTTGGACCATCAAACCAACCCTCCAGCACCCCTGGGAGGCACTGAGCCACACGCTTCCTTCTCATCATCATGTTTTTGTTTGTTTGTTTTCACAGCTGAACTTTGTTCGATTTTATCTCCCTCTGCTTATCCACCAACATGAGAAAGTCATCTATTTGGATGATGATGTGATTGTACAAGGTATACTTGCTAACTGTCAAGAACACCCGGAAAAGGAGCAGCTAAGTAGAACAACTGTGTCTCTCCATTTGCGAAGCAGCTAGTTGCCCAGTGATTCTGGTGCTTGTTCAAGTTGGGAATATACTAAATTGGCGTAAACGCAGGACGACTTTGAAAACAGGGGTTGATAATCACTTCCCTGGACAGTTCACTTTCTGAGAGTGCCTCTCTGCCAACAGCTGTAATAAATAGCTCGGTGGCCTTTCCTTTCTCTGCACCCCACAACACTGGGGGATCAGGTCTCCCTGATGACATTCTTAGAAGTGAGCTAAGCTTTGGCTTATAAGTATTGCCTTCTCTCTCTCACCCACATGCAAATAAACACTGGCATCTCTGGAGCAACAGAAATAAAGAAACGTGGTCAGTGCTCATGTGAGTTTATCATCATTTTCTAAGTGGATACAAGCCACTTTTATCAAGTAAATTGCCAACCCACTTGATCTCAGGAACCACATACTCCCCTCTCGCCCCTTCCTCCCATAGCAAAATTGGGGATTATCTGAGCTCTAAGACCCTGTCTAGCCTCAAACAAACCCCATAACAGTAAAACTCCAGGTGTTTCTAAATGCAGGTGATATCCAAGAGCTGTATGACACCTCCTTGGCGCTGGGCCATGCGGCCGCTTTTTCAGATGACTGCGATCTGCCCTCAGCTCAGGACACAAACGGACTCGTGGGACTGCAGGTGGGCTCGCTGTCTCAGAAAACTACCTTCACCCCCTCCTGCCCCTGCTCCTCCCACTGCTCCGCGGGCCTGCAGCCTCCTGTGAGAGCCTCCCGTCTGGACGGTGGGCAACGAGAGCACCAGGGCCTGAATTGGGGGTTCCTGTCCCAGCTCCACACGTTACCCATTCCTGGCAAGTTACTAAATCCTGCCCTTCCCTCTTACCTGACCTGAAAATGGCTGGCCATGGCATCAATATTTATTTTGGTGTGTGCATGTGTTTGTGTGTGTGCGCGTGCGTGTGTGTGTGTGTGTGTGTGTGTGTGAGTGAGAGAGAGAGAGAGCGCACACGAGCTGTGATAAAATAACACGATGTTCTAGCATCCAGCGTGGAGTAAGTGTTTCCAAACTGACAGCTGCCATCTGCGGGGCTAGTAACCACACACTGTCAGATACGGTGTTTTCTGAGAAGGACTTGGTAAACCGTAGGTTCTATTTTCAGAGGTTTTTTTTTTTAAAAGATTTATTTACATAGACAAGAAATGGGGTACAGGTCAGAGATGCGTGAGCGGGGATGGTGAGAGGATTCACCAGAGACAGAGTAGGGAGCAGAACAGACAGATCTACTGAAACACACTGCTGAGGGGAGCAGCGGACAAGGCAGGAGAGGTCTGCTGCGCCATGTGGGTAGCTCCCTGGCCGCCAGGGGATGGAACCCGTGTCGCAGAGCTTGCGGACAGCTTCACAGTGCTGCGCTCAACCTCTTGCGCCACCAGGGAGGCCCTATTTTCAGAGTTTTGACCATCACTTTTTGTCCCTTTCAGTAGAAGAAAATACTGATTTTTGTTCAAGGGGAGAGCGTTCCTTAGGTTGAGGGGAATGAAGGAAGCTGAACCAATGTGTAACACTGATACCAAAAGAATGGCTTAAAATAAAGATGCTATTAAGAATTGAAAGCTGTTCTTCAAAAAAACGTTCCGGGAAATACGTTTATATGTGTGACATTTAAGATGTGACACACTCTAGGGCCCAGGCCCAACTCTGCCAAAATCTCAGCTCTGTCACTTAGTAGCTTTGTGACCTTGGGCAAACTGCTTAACCGATCATCTTGTCCCTCGTTTTCAAGTAGAGGTATTAACAGTACTTCCCTGTCCAGCTGTGATGAGAATAAAGACATGTGAAGTTATTGCCTGCAATTAATGTAATGCAGGTGAAGTTTTAGGACAGTGTCTGGCACTTAATTTGCAAGTTATGTCTCTTACCCCGGGTCATGTTTGAGCATTACACTTAGGTGGATTATGTTGGCCTATGTGGGTGGAATAATATATCCTGCTTCTAATTACATCCATCCAACATCTACCTATTGAGGAAGGCTTACTATGGATCTAACACTGTTTTCGGTACCAGTAATAGAGGAAGCAAAACTAAAACTCCCGCCTTTGTGTAGTTTGCATTCTAGTGGGAAGAGACACTCAGAAAATAGGTAAAACAGAGATGGGCTTGTATTTTAAATTGTGTGATGAGGGAAGGTTCCACTGAGATTGTGTGGCTTCACCCACCACTGAAAAAACTGAGGGAACCAGCTACGCAAATGCCCAGGGGAAAAACCTTTCAGGAAGTGGTAGCATCAAGTGCAAAGGTCCTGAGGCAGGGGTGGACCTAGTTTATTACAGGGAAGGAGATCAGTGTGACAGAAGGATCCAGGGGGAGAGTAAAAGAAGTTGGCGAGGTAGTGTGGAGGCAGACGTAGATCATTTTAGGAACTTTGAACAAGTTCAGAATCACTGGAAATCACTGGAGGGGCTTTGAACAGATGAGTAACAAAGACACAGTAGAGTCAAAAGGGCAGAAGCAGGGATATGGGTTTTAGGAGCATGAGAAATTCAGTGAGTAGTAATGATGGCCTGGGACGAGAAAGATGCAGGAGAGGCAAGTGAGAAGTGGCTGCTTTGTGGAAGACGGGATCACAAGGATTTGCTGCCATTTGGATGAAGAGTGAGAAAAAAGGAGGTTTCAGGGATAAATTAATGACCCAGGATGTTTTTCCCAATGACCTGGCAGGACCAAGTTGCCATTAACTGAAGAGGGACAGGTTGTAGCTTACATCCATTTGGGGATGCAAGCTGGAGCGGCCTTAGTAAGGAGTCAGCGCGTTGGCAGAGAAGCTGGAGTACCGGAGAGGCCAGGGCTCTCTACTCCCCTAGTGGCCAAAGCCCAGAGACTGGATCGGCCTCTCTGGGGAGTAAGAGCTAGAGAGACAGGAACAGGTGCCGGGAAGGCAACTTGGGACCCAGCTTTGAGAGGAGGGAGACAAGGGGAAACCGACAAAGGAAACCAGTAATGGCCAGGCCTCCCCCGTGGCAGCGCGGGTTCAATTCCTGGCCAGCCAGGGAGAGTCCCACATGGGGCGAGAGACCTCTCCTATCTCTCCTGCTACTCCCCTCAGCAGCATACTTCGGTCTGTTCTGCTTCCCACTCTGGCTCTAGCGAGTTCTCTCATCCTCCCACGCTTCTGACTGTACCCAGTGCTTGTATAAATAAATAAATAAATAAATCTTTAAGAAAAAAAAAAAAGAACTGGGGTACAGGCCAGAGGTGTGGGAGGGTGAGAGGACTCGCCAGAGACAGAGTGGGGAGCAGAACAGACTGACGAAGTACACTGCTGAGGGGAGCAGAAGGCGTGGCAGGAGAGGTCTGAGCGCCATGTGGGACCCTGGCCCGGCGGCCGGGGATTGAACCGGTGCTGCAGAGGCTGCGGGCAGCTTCGCAGCCCAGCGCTCAACCGCTGAGCCACCAGGGAGGCCCTGTACCCCAGCTCTTGTATAAATAAATAAAATCTTTAAAAAAAGAAAACCAGTAAGTGGCCATCGACAAAGGAGGAGATGTAGAAATATGGCACAGTGGTTTCACAAAAAACAAGCCTCTTCCAGAAACAAGATCTGGCAGTCAAACGCGTGTGTGCTGTCCTTTGTAGACCACGTACATGGGCTACCTGGACTACCGCAAGAAGACAATAAAGGACCTGGGCATCAGCCCCAGCACTTGCTCTTTCAATCCCGGTGTGATCGTTGCCAACATGACAGAATGGAAGCAACAGCGAATCACCAAGCAGCTGGAGAGGTGGATGCAAAAAAATGTGGAGTATGTGGAAACCTCACGTTATTTTTTCCATGCTCCGGAACAAAGTCAATTAATTTTCTATGCATAACTTGGGGATTAGAAATATTTCACAGGCATTGTAAGTCACATTTCCTTACAAAGGCACTATTGAGAGAGACAAAGGGGGCAGTAAGTGAAATGTTGTTCTCTGATGTCAGAGGAAGTGAGACCCTGCGGCGTCCCTACTGTACAAATGTTTTTCTGATACATTGATAACTTGTCTTCAAATCTCCCAGAGTCCCCATGATCCTTTTCTCTGAAAATCATTTCTAGCCAAATTTCTCCTCCTTACATAGATTGGTTTTTAAAGATTATCTAAAACCAATTTTAATGTTTTTTTAAAGTGGGATTTAAAAAAATTTATCATTTTCATTACCAAAGTTTTAAAACTGGGAAAAAACACAGCCACTATTAGTGTATTTCTTGTTCACCTTTTTTATCTGGGTATTCTTAATACCGTCATAGCCTTGACTTTGTGAGTAAGGTTATTCTACAATAAATAATGTAGGATCAGAATTTGATCTTCTGTGTTGGCTATTAAAAAGCCTGAGAAATAAAGTGGCAAAATACTAATGCTGGGAATCTAGATGGGACAAATGGGAGTTTGTCGTTTGACCATTTTTTCAATAGAAAGTTGGAGAAAAATGAAAGCTCATAGTCCTATTACATAATGAGAATTATTATTTTAGAAGATTTGAGTTTGCTGGACTCCAGGCCAAATGTTGCTTTCTGTTTCTTAGGGAAAATCTCTACAGCAGCTCCCTGGGAGGCGGGGTGGCGACCTCCCCGATGCTGATTGTGTTTCATGGGAAACACTCCACCATCAACCCCCTGTGGCACATCAGGCACCTGGGTATGTATTTTGGAACAAGATAGTGTGCATTTTAGAGACCCAGTGAGCCCCACCACGTGGGGGGTGAGCTACAGCACCAGGTTTTCCAATTTAAATCCTCCAGGTGACTGCGGAGGTGACCTTGGGCTTGTGACCTACCCTCACAGCTTTGATTCCTCCATAGATGTAGCTGATAAAAAGGCCTGCTGCAGTTTCTAGGAATTCCTGAAAAGCAATTAAGAGTCATGCTTAGCATATAGCATGTGCTCATAAACACTATAATTAAGTTAGAACTCTGTCAAAATGATTTTATATACCTTCATGGCTCTTGTCCAGTGGCCGACAATGGACACAGACAAATGAATTGGTAATGACTTAAAGTGAATTCAGATGACTGGGAGAGCATCTTTAAAATAGCAGTTGTTTTCTGTGTGCTTTTTTAGTCCTGTAACAGTTTTAAATTCACTCTTCACTACAGAAAGGCAGGCTGTATGTATGGACTGGAATCCCAACTCTGCTATTACCTATGATCTTGTGCAAGCTACTCAGCCTCTGTGTGCTTCAGTTTCTAAACTGAAGACTTTCATAGTTCTTAAAAGAAACTACCTAATACATGCAAATTGCTTAGAGCAGTCTATGAAGACACCTTCACATTCATTCAGACACGTAGCCACAATCCCAATGGATGAGACCTGTTTGGAAATTTAGTACCATTTTAAATTTATAGAAGGTAATGTAACACATTCTTTGCTCTGCAATGCCCTGAGTGGGATCTAGATTTTGCTGCCAAAAAAGTTATTAAAAATCCTTTTGTTTTCAGATCTTTGGGGATTATTTTAAAATTGGAGGCAATTAGGGATTTATATTTATCAGGTGCCTACTGTATTCCCAAGACGGGGCTAGGTTCTGATGATCAAGGTGAGCATTAATTCTAATTCCCAGACAATCCTGCAAAGTACACGTCCTTTGTTCTCCTTTACAAAAGAAAAGACAGGCAAACTGTGGAAGCTGAGATCCTGTTTCAATGATTCTGTGTAGATCTGCTTCTGCCTCATTTCCAGAACCTTCCAATTTTCCTGAGCTTATCTACACACACGAGAGATGGGAAGTTAAGAACATTAGTATTTCATCTAATTTGTTTTATAACGTTGAATTCATTCTTAGGTTAAACATCAATATTTTCATGTGATGAAAGTGCTGAAAATCCCATCAAAGTGTCTATCAAAAATGTCCAGGCAGGAATAGCTATGTGGAACTTAGAAGGATAAGGTGAGAGCGTTTTATGATCTTGGGACAGACTCAAAATTACATTTCATGAAATATCTAACTTGCTGACAAGGAGGAAGGGGTAGAATGCTTCCAAGGGAAAGAGAAGTTTTCTTTGTGGCAGAGCCTATGTCTGTGCGGATGGTCTGGCAAAATAAATCTCCACAGAAGTCATTCAAAAAATAACTCCATTTTAGTGTTTTGGAAGCAAAAAGCAATTTAACAGTAATGGATATTAAGTTTGGGTTTAAACAGGTAGTCTTGAAAAATTTTTTAAATTTCTGAAACAGAAGTGAAAGCAAAAAAAGCCCTTTAATTTTGGAGCTAAGAGATGAAGGTTTCCTACTTAGTGGACATCCCACTAAGGAACCCAAAGGTGCTTCTTTTCAAATGAGCATTTCCTTTGTGTTGAGTCTTTGAAAGTTGATAATTATTTTCAATTGTGCTGACAGCCTCGAAAAGCTACCTCTTCTGCAACTGCCTTCACAACCATGTTGGTACATACCAGAAATAAGTTTTATTTTCTAATATGTTAAACTAGAATAACTAGCTATTCACCCTCTCTTTACTCAATAGACTTTTAGTTTTCAAAAAAATATATCAAATTCCATCTCATAGGCAGAAAAGCTAACACCATAGAGTGCAGTTTAAAAAATTTGCATTGGGCCTCCCCTGGTGGTGCAAGCGGTTGAACGCAGCACTGTGAAGTTGTCCGCAGCCTCTGCAGCGCAGGTTCGTTCCTGGCCAGCCGGCGAGGGTCCCACATGGCATGGCAGACCTCTTCTGTCGCGCCCACTGCTCCCCTCAGCAGTGTATTTTGTCAGTTTGCCTGTTCTGTTCCCCACTCTGTCTCTGGTGAATCCTCTCACTCTCCCATGCATCTGGTCTGTAGCCCAGATCTTGTATAAATAAATCTTTAAAAATAAAAAAATAAAAAATTTGTATTTACAAGATCTTAGTGAACTTCTAGAACAGGTATTCTAAAATGTTCTGAGTAATGATAATATTCAGGTAAATGCAGTCTCTTAAGTGATTACATATGAGGGAATTAATACTCAAGTGGACATGGCCAAAGAGGTAGATCTTACTGTTTGAAATGTCATACAGTAAGAACAAGATTACTTAAAGGAAAGGAATTATATAGAGGAAACACCTATAAACTCTGGGTGGGAGGGGAACTAATACGAGTTCTTTTGGACACAATTTGGCAATATCAAAATCTAACAGGCACATACCCTTCAATCTAGCAATTACATCTGAGATTTTAGCCTCGGAGATATATCTGTATGCAAGTACAAGGTGTGTGAAAGGTTCACTGTGACACTGTTTACCCTTAATTAAAAATAATTAAGTCCACATGAGTTGTTTTGTAGATAGTTCCTCTGACTGTAATTTTAAAAAGTAGTATAAAAAAAAAATAGTGTATTAAAAAAAAAAGCACACACACACTCATATGGGTAGAATGCTACTGGAAGGCTTCCATGAGAAACTCTTCAGTGTAAGATGGGTGGTAGATTCTTCACTGTGTTATCCTTTGATTTTTTTTTTAACCAGGAAGTTGAATTCATTTTTAATATGAAACTTTTATTCTCTAACAAGTCTACTATTTTCCTCTAAACACAACAAAGGCTGGAATCCAGATACCAGATATTCGGAACACTTTCTGCAGGAGGCTAAATTACTCCACTGGAATGGAAGACACAAACCCTGGGACTTCCCTAGTGTTCACAACGACTTATGGGAAAGCTGGTTTGTTCCTGACCCTGCAGGGGTGTTTAAGCTCAATCACCACAACAGCTGATATAACCTGATGTTATGAACATGCCCGGTACAAAAACGTGGAATTGTCCATGTGTAGCCTACCATAACATTGTTCTTTATGAACAGGATCTTTCACACAATTGAAATATAAAAAACAAAACTCCTGTGTGCAAACTGTACCTTGGACAACAGGGACTGATTTACTTCCTTTTGGAAATCAAGATTAGGAAAAGTATACTGTTGAAGTATATTGTTGAAAGAAACCCATCTACGTATCGCCAATTAATCTGCTTAACTATGCATTACAATTAAATCCATGCATTTCAAATTTTTTCTAAATGTATTTTTCATGTGTAGGTATTTTTTAATGGGTTGCCAATTTTGTCTTTTGTAGAATAATATATTATTTTATTTACGGATGTCTGAAAAAATAAAATGTTCATAGATTTTTATGATTTTCATTATGTATCTTATTCAACATGCTAAGTATGATAGAAGGTAAATTGATCTCAGGCTTAAAGGGAAAAAGAATACCACTAAATCCTGCTAGAGAAAAATCTGCAATGTCAGGATACTCATTCTGAACATTTTTTATTGTAAAAACCACCAGACTTTCAAATGAATGTAAACACTTTTTCAATGTTATTTAATGAAAAAGTCTCATATTGTCTTGCATAGGATCTATCAACATTTACTACTCATCCATCATTTTTAAGGAAAAACACCATTATTGGGTGCTTGGGAAATCCTCAAACCCATACTCGAATGTCTGTCATTAATTTAAAGGGCATTTTCTCCACTCAAATAAAACAAAAAAAGATCTACTGTGAGGCTACATCATTATAAACTAAAGCGACACCTAGTTACATGCTTTACATAATCCCAGGAAAAAAATAATTCAATTGCTCCTCATTCCCGATGCAAGGCACTTCAAAGCACCCGCAAAAACATCCATGTAAACAGCAGTACAGTACATGATTTAAATAACATGAATGACGTTGACACAGCCTGACCTAGACTAAAGGAAAAAAAAAAATCCATCATAGCCACAGATAAAAAGCATGTTAAGATCCACAACACAAATTTGTTTCTCTTATCATAAAGAGATGAATAGACCATATAATCTCCTAAAAAAAAAAAAACACAAACATTAACCTAATAAATATTTTCATATTAAAAAACAGCATGCTCCCTGGGTATGCATGAAATCAGAATGTTCAGAGGGATCCGTCGTGAAATCAGATGGCATTTCTGAATACCCAGCTTTAGTATCCACCAGGTCTAGTAGTCTGGACTGTTTGTAGCACCTTGGAAAATGCATTAAGAAATCACAAAGGTACATTACTTCAAAGTAACCTTGCCATGAGGTTCACTTAGTCCACAGTAGCAAGTATCAATGATGCAGAGAAAGGATTTTCTAAATAACTGGCTATTAGATTTACCTAAGCAAGAAAAATTCTGTATTATTTATCTTAGTACATCTCATGTACATAAAGCACCAGTTTAAATACGATTATCAAATGTCTCCAGCACCTTGTTGCTCAGCCTGAAAGTTCATTTATCACCTTCTGTATTACATCCATAGAGCTAAATAGATTAGAACAGTGATAAGATACTAAAAAGAAATTTTCTTCTTCATCAAATGTTTATCTCAAGTAAAACATATGAAGTTTTAAAAGTTCTACTCCATCCTCTGGAATTTACTGTCCGAACAGAATAGTCTCTGCCTACTAGAGGATTAATACCCAGGGGCAAGGAGGCCAAAGTGGGGGTCAGCACCTGTCAGGGAGGCCGGGTTAGGCTCGCAGTGCAAGACCACACTGTGACTGGTTTCTACTACAAAACAACACTCACAAACGCTCTCCATGGTAACACAAAGAGATGTGAGTGTGAGCACAACCAGGGAACCCAGCAAACATGACTAAAATTCTACCATGAGACTCCACTGAGGGTTAACTTCATGTATGAAAACCGACACATCTGCCTCTTGACCAGTGGAAAATCTTACTATGACTATGCCCTTCTTAGGCATAAAACGGATAATGGTGAATGGAGGTTTATGCACAGTTAGTCATCAAGTATAAACATCCAGACCATTGCATTTTAAAATTATAGATTAAAAGTGACTCCCCAAAGGAAATTCATTTCTTCATAAATGAAATATAGTTATAAAAAGTTGGAATGATGATTAATTCAAATACAAAAACTCATACAAAAACCCTATTCTTTCCTTTCCAAGCTACTTACTTCCAATCATACAGTTGCTTCTATCACACAACTGTACATGATTACATCACAAGAGTAAAATACTAATAAAATACTTCAGTTAGCAAACTGAGGGCAACTTCTTGACAACTGCATTAAAACTGCAGCATTTACGCAGAGCTGAAACACGCCATTCTCAAGCACGGTTTTCTTCTTCCTGGCCTTGCGGCCCACAATGACTACTGAAGGGAGGGAGCTGCTCGGAAAATGGCTGGGCCATCCATTGCCCATTTGGAATGTCACCGAATGTTGCTTCTCCATTGTCAGCAGCTGGGGGTGGGGGGGGAAGGGTAGGAGGGGAGAGAATATTAGTTTATTCTGTTTTAAAACCTTAAATGGTTACATTAGGAGATTTTTAACAGTACAATGGAGAACTATTACTAAGTTAGTTAAGGAGGCAATTAAATTTAATTATAAGTCTGTTCTCTTTTGACATACGAGACTGACTAAATCCTCACTTGTTATTCAAGGAAGAAAATACAGCCGAGATGACTTAGAGTCAGTGACTTCAAGAAAATGAACTATAAAAACATGTGTAGCTAAACATCAAATAACCATCACATTTTCACTATTAATCACTAAGTAGATTTTTCTATTACTAAATTATTCTTGAAAAATTTACTTTTTAAAATTTTTTCCCAATCCTGATGAAACCAAGTCTTAGAAAAGAACCCACGAAGAGGGGACATACCCAGTCCATTTGAGGAGAAGCTGCAAGGGTCGCTATTGCAGGGGTTTTCACTGTAAGCACCACCATAGGCTGCTTCATAACCCGGGTCATATTTCTCTTCCTTAACAGCCATCTTCTTTGCATCCTCTGTGAGGATGAAAGGAATTTAAGATGAATTTTGTACAATAATTTTGAAAAAAACTTTATTCAGAAATCACAATTTGACTATTCACAGAGAGGGGGATATAGCTTTTGCCATAATCCTTTAAATGCTTTGTTCCATTCCACTAAATTAAGAACTTATACAGCCTATTAGATGTAACTGTAGGTGGACTACCATTTTTCTTAGATCCTCAACATCTGGGGGTGTACCCAGAATTGATAGAAGACATTGGAAAAATGAGGTTTTAATAGAGCTAATATTCATTATCAGGGCGTTCTGGCTCCAAATATAATTGTTTTCTTTTTTCTGCTTTTAAATCAGGTAACACATATTCTTTAACATATATAGAATACATGAATCGAATAAAAGGAATAGTAATGGTAACATACCTTGAGCCAGCTGTAGGTCAAATGTATATTGCACCTCTTGAACATCTGTGTTTCGTTCAATGCCTTTCAACTGATCTCTTAAGTCCTTCAATTTAATGTAGTAATGCACTTTGTCCTGGGCTCGAGGAAACTGAGCACATCTTGCACTTGATGATGGCATAACATAGCAGAGCTAGAATCGTAACACCTTAGAGTCAGAAATTTTTCAACTCTATTGAATCTACTTATATTAAGATTTAAAAATTTATTTTTCTTTGGGTTAATAACTTGATGCTTATCACATATTCAGAGTATCTGAAGCCAAGGAGAAAGACATTAACTTTGCTGTTTTGGATGACAGTGACAAACTGACCTTTACAGAGTGTAATTCCACATATAATAATATATATCTTCTGCATATCAAAAATTGAGACTGCTGGATTATGTAATTTCCAGTTGCAATTTTTAAATTGGCCTCTATGCTATGTGTTAATGAAAAAATATTTTGTTTTGCTTATCCAGCATTTAGGAGATCCTGAATCATAAAGATACGCTGGTGTAAATCCTACCAGGTTTTGAAACACTACATTTTCCAGTTTTAAAATACACAATTAATGTGATCTGGAAACTTGAAAAAGCAATTTTTTTTGTTTCAAAACTGAATCACCAACATCATCAATAACTATGAATACCTCTTGATAGAGAATACACTTTAAAAGATAAATGCACTTACAGTTCCTTGATTTTTTTAATTTTTAAAGATTTTTAAAGAACTGGGGTACAGGCCAGAGGTGCGGGAGGGTGAGAGGATTCACCAGAGGCTGAGCAGGGAGCAGAACAGGCAGACTGACTGAGGGGAGCAGCGGGCAAGATAGGAGAAGTGTGCCACTCCATGCGGGATTCTCCCCTGCCGGATGGGATCGAACCCATGCTGCTGATGCTGCGGACAGCTTCACAGCGCTGTGCTCAACCACCTGCACCACCAGGGAAGGCCCTACAGTTCACTGTTAAGAGCTAAAACTACCGGGCCTCCCCGGTGGCGCAGTGGTTGAGCGCTGGGCTGCAAAGCTGCCCGCAGCCTCTGCAGCACCGTTTCAACCCCTAGCCACCGGGTGAGGGTCCCGCATGGTGCGCAGACCTCTCCTGCCGCCCACTGCTCCCCTCAGCAGTGTACCTCAGTCCTTCTGCCTGTTCTGCTCCCCTCTCTGGCTCTGGTGAATTCTCTCACCCTCCCGCACTTCTGACTATACCCAGTGCTTGTATAAATAAATAAATAAATCTTAAAAAAAAAAAAAAAACCACACTAAAACTACCTATCATATGTGGTTCAAGTTCACATATATCCAAAAAATGCACCTGAGTGTCACCCAGCATTAAAGGGGCAACAATGTAGTGCTCTATGGTAGTAAACCCACCTGTACAATTAGCCAAGGAGACAAACTTAGGCCTCAATTTAAAGAAAGACCAGTGCTACTACCTACTTATCAACCATACATTTCAAAGGAATTAAAAACAGAAAAGATTGGGCCTCCCCGGTGGCACAGCGGTTGAGCGCTGGGTTACGGGGCTGCCCGCAGCCTCTGCAGCGCCGGTTTGATCCCCGGTTGCTCCCTGGCCACTGGAAGAGGGTCCCACATGGTGCGCAGACCTCTCCTGTCGCCCGCTGCTCCCCTCAGCAGTGTACCTCGGTCCTTCTGCCTGCTCTGCTCCCCGCTCTGGCTCTGGTGAACTCTCTCACCCTCCTGTGCTTCTGACTGTACCCAGTGCTTGCATACATAAATAAAATAAAAAAAAAAAAAAAAAAAAAGCTTTAAAAAAACCAGAAAAGATTTAAAAAGGAGACATTCAAATGTATGTAGTTGGCAAAAATGTGATTCTGAGAGCTCCACAAAAACCTGTTAGCATAATGGTTTCTCTATCATTTAAAGTTGTGTGCAACACAGAAGTCTGTACATGTGTGTTGTTAAAAAGTTGTAAACAGGCACTTAATTATATATATTTTTTAAAGATTTATTTATTCATTTATATAAGCATTGGGTACAGTCAGAAGCGTGGGAGGGTAAGAGAATTCACCAGAGCCAGAGTGGGGAAGAGAAACAGGCAGACTGACGAAATACACTGCTGAGGGGAGCAGCGGGTGGCAGGAGAGGTCTGCGCACCATGTGAGACCCTCACCTGTGGCTGGGGATCGAACCAGCGCTGCAGAGGCTGCAGGCAGCTTCGCAGACCAATGCTCAACTGCTGTGCCGCCAGGGGAGGCTCTGCTTAATTATATTTTGAAGGTAGTATATGAGCCAGCTCCTCTCATCATTTTAGCCAAACAACATAGCACTAAGTTATTAATGTGTATTTTAGTATAACTGTGACCAAGTCTGATTTAATGTGCTTGCACAGACATAATATAGATATTAGCCAACAAAGCAGAATACATTTTCATGGTATAATTCATAAAGGATGGCACAAATAAAAATGAGAACTAGCTAGGCAAAATTCAGTTGATTCACAAATGTAATTTTCAGGACTTACGGTTTCTGTGTCTGGGATCTTATGGGGTTGAAGTCCAAATTCTAAGTTCTTAACCTTCACTCCAAAAACTTCTTTACTAAAAATTTCATAAATACCTAAAATGAAACACAAACATATTTATATTGCTCATGATGTTAGCAAGCAAACAAAAAAGGATAAAATTTAAAAGTAAATCTTACATTTTCCATTAAAAACGGCTATTCGTGGCTGATATTTCTGTAACTTCTGCACTAGAATACGTCCTCCTTCACGAAATTCCTTACTAAAATTGAATGAAAGAGTGGTCAAAACACAAATATGGCAGTATTTATAATATGCTAAATTCTGACAGTTTTCAATAAAAGGTGAAACCTCAAACTATTACACTTGGTATGAACTATATATATGTGACTTCCCTAGAGTACAAGGCACCAGCTTGCTCAACCTCCAACCTCTAAAATCCACACTGTTATTACCTGGAAAGATCCTTGCTGCCTGGTGTCGTCCTTTCCACCATATTGGTAAACCCAATACCATACTTCCCTGGTAAAGTGTGATCATCCATATGATTGAGTTGGACTTCACTCAGCCCTGACATAAACAGACACTTCCCTGTAAAAAGAGAATTCAGTTTATTTCTGTAGAAGGTCAAAGGCTTTTGTCCCATGAATTGATAAGGCAGTCTACAGTCTATTCTTGGGGGGGAGGGGGAGGGGGAATATTTAGCATATTTAAAAAATTATTACATAGGTCAAATACCATATCAGGCAATTACTACGCTGGGCAACATGCTAAGCCCTTTACATGTGTTAGTTCATTTAATCATCATAACTATATAATGAGATATTACAATTATCTCCTTTTTACAGGTGGTTAAGGCAAATGCCTCTTGAATATTCAAGTAAGTGTAGGAAACTTTGAAATTTTGTTTTCCCTCCTAATAATTAATTGGTGATTAACACCACTCCCTGTAATACTTCTAACAGATAAGCATACACCAATGGACTCAGAACACTCTGACAGTGAAAAAAGGGAAAAGACCAAACTTCTCCAGAAGTTTTTCCTTGTTACATAATGGAGAAAATATGCTATTAGTTACAAAAACACATTATTAGCCTTGTTCTAAATGTTTTAAACATCAATCTTAGATAAAATCATCTGCATGAATGTTCTTTTGGTCAGCGATAGGTTAAGATGACAATATAACAGCAGTTATAATTGATTTTAAAGTTCACTCTACAAGTGTGAGGATCTTCAGCATTATTTTCTGCTAAATACGAATTATCTATACAAAATATCTTCAGTCAATTTACAACTTGATTGCTAATGCATTTGACCTCTCCTTGGAAATATGATAGCAGAAATCTGGAAGGTCAGCTTCTGTTTGCATTGGCACAAGGATTATTGTTACCACATCTATAGATGATAACTAAAGGAAATCATTCATAAAAGTAGCAAAGCTCATTTAAAACAATTCAAAAAGAGAAAGAAGTCCTTTTTCTGTCCCTCCACTTTCATACACCAAAATGTTTACTGTGACCTTTTATTTGTGCAGACACATATGGAAAGTAGGTATATTTACATATAATATAGCCTCTTTCTTTAAAAACACAATTTGGCGAAAACAACCCGCCCACCCCAAGTTATTAACAAAGTTATCTATTTTAAAAGTAAAATAATAAAAAAAGTAGCCACTTACAAAAATGGTTTCCAGGTCCAGGGTAATGATGCCCTTTGTAAGCAGCCATTAGTCCTGGATTTATGCCAATCTACAAAACAAAAAGTGTTTAAATTTTAGTCTCTAAAAGTAGGGTTTAACCCTTAGGGCTTCTGAGGAGGAGTGGTGGACACAATTTATTAAAATACAAATTTAATTCCACATCATAAGCATTATCATTTATCAGTGATCTACTCTTGATCTGAACAAAGAATTCCACTTCAAAGAAAGTTAGAAGTTTAAAAAGTTTCATTCCTGTTTTTAAAAACCAGTTTGACTCTCTGATAGCCAGGCCTCTGCTCCCACCACCTGGGCTGGAAGGAGGCCTTGGAGGAACCTGCTGAGCCGCCCATGTCCAGCCACAAGTCAGCCCCTCAGCTCCCGGCTAGCAGGCTTACCACCCCCCACACACACCCCATCTACACAGCTGCTGCATACTGACGTCTCTTAGGTTCCTGGCAAAAACTGAAGTTTAAAATCAGTGCTATAATTTATGGAAAACTCATAGTTGTCATGTGTGCTTGACAAGGAAAACTGCATTTAATTGCAACTCTCCATGGTGCAAGGGGTTGGGCACCGCACTATGAAGCTATCCACAGCCTCTGCAGCACGAGTTTGATCCCCAGTCACACGGCGTGGCAGACCTCTCCTGGCTCGCCCGCTGCTCCCCTCAGCAGTGTATTTCAGTCAGTCTGCCTGTTCTGTTCCCCACTCTGTTTCTGGTGGGTCCTCTCACTCTCCACACTCTGGCCTGCACCCCACCCACCTCTTGTATGCATAAATAAATAAATCTTAAAAAAAAAAAATAATTGCAACCCTCCACAGGAGGCACTATTTCACTGGTCTCACCAAAGAGGACACTAGTGTTTAGGAAGGGTAGGGTTTGTCCAACGTCACCCTGCAAGGCAGGAGTTGACACCAGACAACCCCACTCTGGAGCCCACCCTCTTAGACACTGACATGTAATAATAACACCACCTCATGAAGGGGACACCAGCTACTACCCAAAGGATTCTCAGAAATGGTTTTTAAGGAAAATGCTAATTTGCAGGGCTATCAGTTAAGTTAACCCACCAATGCTATTTATAAAGCCAAAGACTAAAGATGCTTACAATCACAATATCCAGGTTGAATGTCAAAATGTCAGGAAGAGTCTTGGTCAAAAGTTCGGCTTCTGAAACACCATTAAAACGGTCTACTTTTCTTTTCACTTTAAACGTGTCTGTAATTTTTTCTTGCTTTTCTTTTGACTTTTTGGACTTCCCAGATTTTTTGGCCTCGGCAGGTTTTTGGGGTTCCACTGGTTTTTTGGGTTCCACTGTTTTTTTGGGTTGTGTTGTTCTGGGTTTTCTTTTCCTTCCTTTTGGAGTCTCTGAAACAATCATTTCCAGAAAACCTTAACTTACGAACTTTAGGCAGTTTTCCCAGAAAAGTCATCCTTTACACTTTTCTAATTCCCAGCACCAGTCTCCCCTGCAATATTTTCCCCTAACCTCACCCTAGAACTGAGCTCACGTGGCCCCAGTCCCAACTCCGCTTCCCCTGCTAGTTGTTCTTAAGATGGAATGTCCGTAACAATTGGAGATTTATTTTCCATACACGCTTACCTGGCATCTTGGCCTCCCCAGGACAACAAATAGTTATGTACCATTTTATATGATTCCAAACATAAATGCATACTTAAGTAATCAAATGAAATAGAAAAATAGGGAGGGAGAAGACTGTTTTAACTCAACTCTTCCATAATTTCCAGCAGTAGAAAACTTCAAATGGTTTGTGGGCTTCTTTTAGAGATTATGAGAGTACATTCTGCTCCACACACAGGTAAAAAGGTAAATTTGGAGGTGCTAAGGGTGAAATCTCTGGGTTGGCATTATTTTTCAAAAGGCAAGACAAGGGATCTGATCTCAGGACCTAAAGTAGAGTTTCATGCTCTCAGCACTAATGACATATTAGGCTGAATAATTTTTGGTTGTGGGGGGCTGTCTTGAATATTACAGAATGTTAGCCTCAGTCTCTACCCAGTAGATGCCAATAGCACCCTGCCAGTCACAATAATCAGAAGTGACTCCACCAACACCAAATGTTTTGTGGGGGGTAAAATCATCCCTGGAAGAGCCACTGACCTGAAGTTACTCAACAGGAAGCTTTGCTTGGGGCCTCCCTGGTGGTGCAAGGGGTTAAGACGCAGCACTATGAAGCCTTCCTCAGCACTATGAAGCTATGGAGAATTCTGAACACATTTCTTATATAACACAACTACTCTGCCTTCTTTCCACCTCCCACCCAAAACCTACTCTCTTCGAATTCTCCACTTGGTGAATGTTATCTCCTCCTTCCAACTGCCTATGCTAGAAACCAGAAGTTACTTTCAGACTCCCCTATGTCCTTGTCCCCCATGTGAATCCATTAACCATGCCAGGTAGTTCTACCTCCTGAGTATTTCCTAATTCTGTCCTCCACCCCTTTCATTCTCCCTCATCTTTCCCCCAAGTTATTCAAACAGGTTTTAATCCACTTTTCGCCTCCAAGTTCTGCCATGCTTTTACCATCCCTTCTAGTGTAACATTTTCCTGACCAGTATTTTACAGGTCAGTCTACTTGTGTCACCTCCTGCTTACATTCCCTCAATAGCTCCTTGCTGCCTTCAGGACAGAATACACATTCTTTTGGTTAAATAACAAGCTTCAAGTGCCCCCATCCAGCCTGACCTCTCAGCCCAGATGCAAATGTCCTAGAATCACTCGGTTTTGAACTGTGACATGCTTCCTCACATCTCTGCTTTTGGTATGCTGGTCCCTGGGCTGGACTCGGCCCCACACACTTCTTTATGGGGGTAGTTTCCTCACCCTTGAGATTCAGAGCTCTCAGGGGCTGCCTCTGCACCTCAGCCCAAGTCAGGCGCCAGCCCCAAGAGCTCTCACAGCACTTTGCGCCCTTCTGCACCACTTAAGTGTGTGGAGGTATGATGCGTGTTTAATTGTATTTCCCCTACTAGATTATGAGCTGTTCAAGGACAGGATCTGCATCCTTTTCTTCCCCTAACTTATCACAATGCCTGGCACATACTGAGTACTTAAATGATGGATTAAATTCTTTGCATTAAAACAGAGCTGAAAACCCTTTCTTCAATAAATTGGCTAATACAACAGCCAGTTTCCAAAATTGTGCTGGTGAAGACTACCTTGTTCCGGTTCCGGAGCAGGAGTTGGGACGTCTCCTGGCAGGTGCTGCTCGTCCATAGCCGCCACGGGAGGAGCCTCTGCCATCATTTGTTGGAACGGAAATGCATAAAGAGCCTGGGCTTGCTGAAGGGAATGGCTGAAATGTGGAAGACACGGGGACATAATTACCCAAATGTAAGTTTAAATGATCAGCTACAAGAAACCTTCAGGATCCAAATATTTTGTAACCATAATTATCTAGAGTAAGATTGTAGGGGCAAAGAGAGGACAAAGAGTCATTCTAATACATACACATTCACTCAGTCCCTGGGTGCCTACTAACCGAACATGAACTTTCACGCTGTGAAGACAAGATGCGTCATCAATAAAACTTATCGGTCCTGTCAAGTCAGTCTGTATTTTCTCAGAAATGAGATCACAGGAAGCTTCTAGTACAAAGACTTGAAAGACCCACAAGCCCAAATGGGGCTATGCACATAAACACAATTTGTGTCTCTTTTTTATTTAATTCTCTCGTCACAGGGATCCCCTTCAATCTCAGTTTGTTCCTAGCTCTAGCTCTGTTCAGAAACAACTGACATAAAATCTTGTTAGGGTTGAAGATGTACGATGTGGCATGATACACATGTACTACAAAATGAATACCACTGCAGCTGGCTCACGCCTCTGTCACTTCACCTAATTACTATTTTTTTTTTGAGGTGAGAATATTTAAGATTCAACTTTTCAATACAGGATCCAGTGTTATTAGAATCACCAGAGTGTGTATCAGGTCTCCAGAACCACTTCATCTTTAACTGGAAGTTTATTTCCTTTGGCCAACACCTTGCCGGCCCCAATCCCACTCCAACCTAACTTACTGTTCTCCTTTGGTTTACCTACCCATTTGGTCTGTCTTTTGAATTGTCATTAGGTCTTGGGTTTTAATTTGCTACTAAGTGAGAACTAGAAATGGACATTTGTAAATGTCTAAATTTATGGGGGGAAAAATCCACTCTAAACTGCTTTTCTAAGCATGGCTTAAACTTTGTTCAAAATATTCTGTTCAATGCAAGGAACACAGGCCTTCACAGAAAACAATTTTCAAAATTATTTTTGAGGAACATAAACCACATCTCAAGCTGTTGCATCAGCACAAAGCTGGGGAAGTAAACATATTTTATGAAACTCACGTTATAGCTAATGTCAAATGATGCCATGAAATATACAGTAGGAAGAAAAACATAAGGCAAGAAAAGGGACACCTACCATTTAGCATGTGAGAGAAAAGTCTTATTTTCTGTGGCAAGACACTGCTTATTATTGATCATTTTCTTTCTCCACATGGCGTGGCATGGCGAAAGAAGCAGGGAGCTCACAAGGCAGAGATGAAAGGGCAAAGAAGTAGATTGTAAGTAGTGAACCTTACCGCAAATAAGGCCTTGGGAAGTGATTAGGCGCCATGAGGGCAGAGTCCTTACAAATGGGATCAGTGTCTTTTCATTAAGCAAATCATCACTTAATGTTTTTTTAAAAAAGGCACACAGAGGGTGGGGAAGAGACCATCACCCACAGTGGGGAGGTTAGAATGCTGGTGGCTCAGGGGTAAGCAGGAGTCCAATCCTCTGTTCATCCAAAGGATAAACTGCTGGGGAAGCATTTAAATGTCAAGCTATCTTTAAGGGTAAGTTGTAAAGAAAAGATTAAGAATTAGTGAGAAAGATAGTAAGCTGTATGTAAGAGCTATTTCTTTGACTACGTTGTTTTCAAATAATAGAAAAAGACATCAGCAATGATTTCATCAACTACAGTTCATTAACATGAAAACTACTGTGTTACTAAAAAACAAACTGATACTATCTAAAAATACAGACAATGCTTAATATATACATTTTAAAGTAGAAAAGAATATAAAAAGTGAGAACTAGAAGTTAAAATGTAAAAATGAAGAGATGTTTAAACAGTGCTTGGCACAAAGTTAAATGTTCTTTCTCCCTGCACCCACTTCTCTTTAATAGTATTTGTAGCTCTTTTCAATCAATGGTCAAAATAGTGGTTGGTCAGTGTTTATGATTTAAAAATTCCGAAGAGGTGTTGGCTATGGCCAGGCTAGGCGAACATGATAACCACTACACTACGGAAACCCGCTGGCTATGGCCAGGTTACATCAAGCGACATGTGCAGTCACCCTCTGGAAATTCTAGTACAACAGACTGTACCTTTTGATTGTGGCCAAGGCAGTTTTCTGAGATGCTAAGGGCCCCTTTTAACTAGAATGTATAAAAGTAAAAACATGTGGTCACAGTAAGTGAGCAGCCAGAGAAAGCATGAGGTCTGTTCTTGGACCTACCACCCGCCCTCAGAGTGACTGCCTCCAGTTTCACAGATGTGTCCTATTTTGAGCACTTCACAAAAACCCAGAATTAAAATATGCACATGAGTGAGCCACCGCTCACATTACAAAACGATTCTGACCTTCAAAATAAAAATGTCCACAATGAGGCTCCCTTAGCATAGTTAGGGGGTCATTAAGTATTCTTGGAAATTCTGGAGCTCAGAAACTGAAAGTTAAAATTTTAGAAATCAATTGGCTGAAGGAAAAGTGAAAAAGTTAGAAAAAAAATCCAAGGATTTTAGAAATGTAGATGAATTTTGAAAGAAATACAGAAAATTATCTTGAACATCAATGTATTCCTTAAACTTTCTAAAAAATGATCAGGCACTTTACAGTAAGCTAAATTAGAAAGGAGATAGAAGAAAAACAGTGGCATGGAAAATAGAATGGGTAAGTTCTAAGGTAATTATCTTTGAGTGCAAAAGTTAACCTGATCTAAGCCTCCCTGGTGGTGCAAGGGGGTTAAGTCTCAGCACTATGAAGCTATCCGCAGCCACTGCTGCACGAGTTCGATCCCTGGCCAGGGAGTTACCCACACGGCACAGCAAACCTCTCCTATCTAGCCTGCTGCTCCCCTCAGCAGTGGATTTCAGTAGATCTGCCTGTTCTGCTCCCCACTCTGTCTCTGGTGAATCCTCCTCTCACCCCCCTGCACTTCTGGCCTGTACCCCAGCTCTTGCACGCAGAAGTAAATAAATCTTGGGGAAAAAAAGTTAACCTGATCTTAATAAAATTCCTAATTGTCAGACCTTCTTATTACTTGGCAAGAGAAAGCATTACATCTGCACAAAATCCTTCATGAACTGAGTGCTAGGAAGTTTTCTGTATAATTTTCTGTTACCTAGTAATAAAATTTAGTAGTATAAATATGCTTCAATCTTTTTTTTCCAAAAAGATTTATTTATTTATGCATACAAGAACTGGGGTACAGGCCAGAGGCGTGTGGGGGGGGGTGAGAGGATTCACCAGAGACAGAGTGGGGAACAGAACAGGCAGATCTACTGAAATACACTGCTGAGGGAAGTAGCAGGTCTGCTGTGCCATGTGGGTCACCTCCCTGGCTGGGGATTGAACTCCAGCTACAGCGGCTTCAGGTAGCTTCATAGTGCTGCATCTTAACCCCTGCACCACCAGGGAGGCCCCTGCTTCAATATTAAGATGAAAATATTTCTCATGTACATTTGTTGTATGTATATATATATGGTGCTTCATAATTCCTAATGCCACAGAGCTTCTGAACACCAACTTTCTCTGTATGAGAGGAACAGCAGAAGAGCATTAAGTCTCTATTCACCCTCTCAGGACCTGCTGTTCCCTCAACATCAAAATGAGGGATGGGATTCAGTGACTTTAAAGATGTGGAGTGTGTGCAGGAAATGTGATCTCAATTTGTCCAGATTCAGAACAGATCCTGAAAGGCTATTTTCTGTAAATCTCTGATATCAAACTTGTAGGCTTGATGAATGCTTTTATTTCCCCTTGTTTACTGACCCCCACTCTGTTTACTCTTTGCCCCACAGCTGTTCTGAGCTACCTCTCTTTCCTGCAGTTTACCCTTCTTATTTCCTAATCTCTGCTTGCACCCTGTTTTCTTGAACTGTGGGGGCTCATGGGATTGGTTTTTACACCTGTCTGAAACCGATGAACTCTGTGTTTTCCAAGCATTTTTCTCAAAACAGACATACCTAAGACATATGAATGACAGGTGTCCAGTTAATTCAGATTTTGCTGTATTACAAAAAACAATTTCTGAAATGAACAACTCCAAATTTGTCAGTCCTATTTTCCACTATTTTAAAGATTTAAGTTGTTCTTTTTAAAATACCTTTCTCTTAATTAGTACTGCTGTAACAATAAAGACAGAAGATAACATATATTAGCTACCTCCTGTTATCCTTCCAATGCTGTCTCATCTAGTATGATTATTCAAAAGGGATTGAACCTTCTACTGTGGCTTAGTGGTCACTAGTTCTTTGAAAAATGTTCAACCACTGAGAAGTAAAATTGTGTTTAGCATCAACATCAATAAATTAAAAGACAGGTTCCATCTTTGCAACAAACAGGGACCCACGTGTCTATTTCAAGCATCAGGTCCCTCTCTTATTATCTACAAATTCTGCTGCTATCTGGCCTCTCACTTGAAATACAACTCACTCAGACTAGGAAATACAATTTCTGTTAAAGCAACTAAAAGTCTTCTTAAATGCTCTCAGTGATCTTAAGTTTCAACTCTCTCTTACAGACAATCACTCCAGCACTTCCAATCTGATGATCTTTTTTTGGTCAACACAGGAGATGAAAAATCAAAATCACAAGGAAGTATTTGTTTATGCTTTCTGTCAGCTATAGTAGCAACATGCCAGTGTACTAGCCAGAAAACCCAAACCTTTCTTGTCCAAAAGTCCTTTCAGATCTCTAACCTCTGGAAGGCCTGGTTTCATTCAAAAGTTAAACTTTCCGGTCTATATTCTAAAGGGTCTGTGTCCCTCTTCTCCAGTCAAGTAAGTGCTCTTTTCATGCCTGAGCACATCAGAAACAAGCCGGTCCTCTTCCTTTCTTCCTCTGAGTCACAGGACTGTATGTGCTATGTGCTTATTATAAGTCCTGAACCATCTCCTTTTTAAAAATTTTATTTATTTATGCATACAAAAGCTGGGTGTAGGCCAGAGGTGCGGAGGGATGAGAAGATTCACCAGAGACAGAGTGGGGAACAGAACAGGTGGATCTACTGAAATACACTGCTGAGGGGAATAGCAGGCAAGACAAGAGAGGTCTGCTGTGCCATGTGGGCTAGCTCCCTGGCAGGGATCAAACTCATGCTACAGTGGCTGCCCCATAGCTTCATAGCGCTAAGACTTAACCCCCTGAGCCACCAGGGAGGCCCTCCTTTTCCTTTTGAAAAGCCTCTATCCAAGGAACTTTTCCCCCTGAATTTTCAAAAATCAACCCACCAAAATAAAACAGTAAACTAATGACACCCAATGTTCCTTTTTCATTCCTTGACTAGCACAAAGCCAAGGGGGACAGAGCACTTTCTCAGCGTCATATGGGGCCAGTTATTTCACAATCTCCAGGGATAAACTCTTTAGAGTAGTAATACAGAAGTCTCCATATTTCTGGAGGTGGAGACTTTGTAAGCCAAAATAAAAAATGATCTACAACGCAGTGGCTGAAGTTAAGGTAGAATATAAGGCACAGTTTTGAGCTAAACACTGTATGGGAGACCTATCTGCTCTTAAGAAACTGAGTTAAGATCTTACAGCGTGTCATTTATTTGGTTTTATCCAGTTTTCAATTCTGCTCTGGACGAAGATCAAAGATGAGGGAATGCTGCGAGTTCTGGTGAGTACTTTGTAAAGTTCTTCTAAGAAAGAAAAACTTTATTTCAGTATTTGAGCCACAGTCTATCTCATAATCCCTTTTCCTAAACTTATTTTGGTTACTTAGGTAAACCCCTTGCAAAAAAATACATCAGAACAACACAGGAGAACTGGATTCCCAAAACGCCCTGCTGGACAGCCCTAACAAGCCCGGAGAATAAACTGTCTTGCCTAAGACCGGGCCCATCAGCCACCGAATTAGGGCAATTCTTCATTGGGTCTCCAAGTATTTTACTCCACCTTTGAAGTCATCGCTTCGTTTCACTTTAAACACCCTGTCATCCTACCTAATTATTTTCTCATTTAGTTCCCTGCCAGAAGTTCAAATCTCGAAAGGCCTACTTTTGCAAAAATGTTATCTCCATGTATCTGACACTACTCTCCAAAAGAAACATTCGAAGTGGATTCCTGAGATCCTCCCTAGGAACACTCAGAAGACACCTGTCGATGACTCCTCGAGTGAGCTACCTCCCCGTGGCCCTGGACGCAGCTTCTAGCAATCCTTTAGGGGAGAAACTCAGGGTTTACTAACTTTAAAATTAAAACTGCAGTGAACCGGGGAACGCTGCCTTTTTACGGCCCTTTGCAAAGTGATGGCGGGTGCAGCGAAACATAGCCAAGAACGGCCACCAGGGACCGGGCAGCTTACTGCGGCATTTTCAAGTTAAATGACCTCGGCAAGGCCCGGGCGGGGGTGCAGGCGCAAGACGCGCCTCCTAGGACCGCCCGAGCCGGCCGGCAGTGCGCATGCGTGGCCGCGGCCTTTGTACGCGGGCGGCGGCTTTTAAAGACCCCCGCGTGCGTGCGTGCGCGCGCCCGCCGGGCCTCTCGGCCGCGAGGGGCGGGGGAGGGGCGCGCTCCGCCGGCCTTACCTGTCCGCGTTCTCAGCGTCCATCCCCCGCGGCCGGCCACTCCTGCGGGCGAGCGAGCGGGCGGCTGGTCGCTAGTACGGCGGCGCAAGTACGTGCGGCGGCACAAGAAGCAGAGAGTTGGCCCCCGGTCGCAGCGGTACAGGGACAGCGGCTGGCGCCCAAGCTCCTCCCCCAGCCTTTCGTTCCCCCTCCCTCCACCCAATCCCCCCTCTCCGCCGGGCGCTTCCGTCCGCTCGGAGCCAAATCCCACGCCGGGCGCGCGTCACGTGACGCAGCCCGCCCAGTCACCGTCGCGCCCTTCGCGTCGTTCCCGGCGCGCCGCTGGGCCTTTCGGGAAGGGCGGGAGGGGGCGCGCTCTGATGTCGTCAGCTTTTGTCCGCCGGCACTGGCTCGGTGGTGGGCGGAAGGGCGGGTGAGAGGGTGATGTGCTGCGGGGGTGCTGTGTGGCTGGGCCGGTTATACTTGGTGCTACCCCCACCCCCACTTTATTCCAGCGAAGTATTTTGCATTAAGTCAAGTAATTAGTGCGTTGTAGGGGAAAAGGAGACCTTGAAATCAGGAAACGTGGATATCGGGGCCGCTGTACCATCTCAGGTTTCAATTTCCTCATCCGTAAAATAAGGGTGGTTGTAAAACTTATTGGTAAAAGCTGCTTATGTTGAAAGCTTTTCATTAGCCGGTCTCCGCTTTAAATTGGATATATAGAAAAGTTACGTTTGCGGTGCCTTTCAAGTACTACCTCCTTAAAACCGATCTGAGTAGCCTGTTTTTGTCAGTGGCTCTTACAGCCCGACTCTCGTTTCATCGGTTCTCAAGTTTTTTTTTTTTTTTTTAAGTAACAAATGCACTTTTAATTGACTTACAGATAAAAACTACTTAAAGGTCAGTGACCACTTCAGTCCCTAATCTGCTAGAGCTGTATCCTGGCCAGTCTTGAGGAACTGTGTTAACAGGTTATTTTCATGAGTTCACTCTATCCTCAGTATTAGAAAAGCAAGGCATTATAAACGGTGAAATGTGTGGCTGACAGCCCAACCCAGTCCCTTATTTTCCATATTTTCCCTTAAGTTCTTCTACTTGGGCTATGTAAACTTTCATAGCATTGTCCTTGGAAGTCCCTTTCAGTCCATTCCAGGCATCCCACTTGGTTTGCCTTTGAAGTCCATCATTCCAGGCTGTTCTGTATTTACAGCCCCCACAGTTGCTTGTTTGTAGTGGCTATAGATGAACAACGTCCCTTCATCTGTTGGCTTAATGTTGAAGTTCTTAACTTCCTCAGCAGCTTTGCCAAACTCAGCCTGAGACATGCCGGCTGGATTGCAAAAATTCCAGGAAACCTGTGGAGATGGTGAAGAGCAGAAAACAGTTGTCATTGGCTTTGTTAAGTAACTTAATACTGATAGGCTTGCTGTTCATATTTCTCTAGTTTTATATGATAAAAAACATGGCTGTTGTATTAGTTAGCATTTCCTAGTTTGTGTAGTGGTAACAACTGAGCTCAAAATCTCAATGTCTGCAGCAACAAAGGTTTATTTCTGGCTCATGTAACGTGGGCTGGGAGATAACAGTGTCACTATGCTTCATTTGGAGTCTTCATTTGGGATTCAGGAAAGGGCCTCATGAGTAAATACAGAAAGATTGCTTAGATGAAACTTAATATTTATAAACCTTTCAGAATTTTTATGAATACTGTGTTCATCAGTAGGTACTACTCAGAACCTGACTCATGAATTTTTGTTCAATGATCTCCCTCTTTCGCTTGTGGCTGAATCTTAATAGCCACATTTCAGGTATCTCTTAACACAGAAGGCCTCAGTTCAATACACTGCTCGAAGTGCTTTGCATGTATTAATTCATTTCATTCTCAGAGTAACCCTACAACCCAGTGTTTTGGTTCACCTTTGAAAGTGGTCACTTGAGAAGTCCCTCTTGCTCATGGGAGGTTGGCCTGTTTTCTTTTTTTTTTTTTTCGGTAGGCATTGACAAGATGTTTCTAAATTCATATGGAAATACAAATAGCCTAGACTAATAGCCAAAACTAATCTTAAAAAAGAAAGAACAAAGTTTGAAGGCTAGGTGGCAGCACTGCTCTCACCTGAGTAGCTTCCCTTTGAGTACTTAGACCAAATGGTCAGATTCAAGCACCAGGGGCTGATAGGATCTTTTATGGCTGTAAAGCAGGTTTTGTGACTTTTGCATTTGCAGGTCACTATGCATTTCTAAAAATATTTAGACCAAATAATCATAAACTGCAAAGATTTCAACTCCTAGACTTCCATTTTATTATAAAGAAGAATTTGAACAGAAAATGAGAGAACTAGGCAGCACTCCATCTGTCCACCTGTGACTATGCAGGTGCTTACTTTCACCAACTCTCTCCCTCTGCAGGGCAGCAGCTTCCTGCCTGCCTGTGACTGTACCATGCCAGGGCTTCTCTTCACTGACCTCCTTCAGCAGAGGCAGCTCTCCTCAAGGCCACCTGCCTGCAACCATGCAGGCCTCTCTCAGAAACCTCTTTCCGGGCAGCTCTTCCTGCCCACTTGTGTCTATACAAGTGTCTTTTATTCTTCTGTCTCTTTCCCTAATAAACCTGCTCTTTAAATATTAAAAAAAAAATTTTAAAAATGAGAGAGCTAGGCTTATTTTGGGCATAACCCTTGCTGATGGCAAGGTCAAGATCAAAACTGCTCACAAGAGAATGATGATTTTCAATCACCCAGATAAACATTGCTCTCCTTACTTAGCAACCAAAATAAAAGGCAAAACACTCGCTAGAAACCCACAAGCAAACATTGATCTGATGCTCTAGGACCACTCTGAAGGGGAAAGGGGGGACAACTGAAACCCAGAGAACTTAAAAGTTCAGCAATTTAATCTAAACCATGACTTTCATAACTTTCCAGTGTACTGACCACAACTATTAAAGTAAATGATAAAAGATTAATTACCTGGCAAAAATTGGAGGGCAACACTGCCTGATTTAAGAATTAATCTAAAGCTACAGTAGTCAAGAGAATGTGGTATAGGTGTATGAAAGACAAATATCACTGGAACAAAGCAGAGTCCAGAAATAGACATACATATATATGCACATGCACTTAGACCATTACACCGTTGATTTTCAAGGAAGTTGGGAAAGGCAGTTCAATGAAGAATAGTCTTTCCAACATGGTGCTAGGATATCCCTATGCCAGAAAAGAAAAAGAACTTGGAATCATACTTCATAGCTACAAAAAATTAGCACAAAATGGATCATAGACTTAACCGTGAAACCTTCATCTATTAAACTTTTAAAAGAAAATACATGAGAAAATCAGTGATTCTTGGTTAGATTTCTTAAATATAATACCAGAAGCCTGATTCATAAAAAAGAAAATTGAATATTGGACTTCATTAAAATGTACACCTCCTTTTCAAAAGATTATTAAGACAAACTGCAGAACTGGGAGAAAATATTTGCAGATCAAATCAAATCTGATAAAAAACTGCATCCGTAGTATATACTTAAAACTCATAATACAAGAAGCAACACACAATTAAGAAATGGGTGAAAGATTTAAACAGATACCTCACCAAAGAAAACATGAAGTAATTCTTAACATCATTAATTAAGAGATACCATCACACACCTATTAGAATAGGTAAAATTAAAAAGACTAACCCTACCTAAGTGTTGGAGAGGATGTGGAGGAGTTGGAACCCTCATATTTCTGGTAGGGACGTAAAACCATACAACTACTTTGAAAAACAGCTCAGCTATTTTTTTTTTAAGATTTTATTTATTTTTGCATAGAACTGGGGTGTAGGCTAGTCATGCGGGTGGTGAGGGGATTCACCAGAAACAGAGTGGGGAGCAGAACAGGTGGATTTACTGAACTAAGGGGAGCAGCAGGTGAGACAGGAGAGGTCTGCTGCGCTGGGGATTGAAATCGGGCAGTAGAGGTGATAACGCTGATACTTAACCGGTAGACCACCAGGGAAGTCCCAACAGCTCAGCTATTTCTTAAAAAGTTAAATATACACATACCTACCATATGCTGCAATCATTCTATTCCTAGGAATGTACCAAATAGAAATGAAAGTGTATGTTCACACTTGATCAGGTATCTTTTTTTGTTTATTCATTATGACAGCTTTATTTCTGTTAGCCAAGAACTCGAAACAACCAAAATAGCCATCAAAGGTGAATGGATAAACCAATTGTGGTATAAACAATACGGACAGAAAACAGTTCATTGGTTGTCCAGGGAAGAAGGCAGTGCAAATGGATTAGAAGGGGGAATAAAGAAGTTTTTTTGAGTGATGGATATGTTCATTATCTTAATTGTGGGGGTTTCATAGGTGTACACATATTAAACTTCATAAAAATGTATACTTTGTGTAGTTTATATGTAAAATATACGGTGAAATTGTTGTAGAGCAGCCCCTATACAAAACGGGGTACCTGACTGTGGGTCCTCACCCGTGCGCTTAAAAGGACTTATCAATGCTCTACTGCAGGCGCACGCACACGCGAAAAGTTAATAAAAGGTTTATTTTCAAGGGAAGGGGAAATGAGGAAACGTACAGCTCAGGGAGAAAAGTGGGAGACAAAGTTTTAAATGACTCCTACCCTATCCGCCAATCAGGAATCCCAAAATGGCACTCTGAGAGCTGGCCGGGAGCCAGGAGCCGTGAAGCCAGGAGGCAGCGATAGTGAGCCACCCCAAGGCCCACGTGTTTGGTTTTTATACCCAACCTGGCTGCTTAACTCCACCCTCAGGTCCCGGCCACCTTCCCTTTGGTGGTGATGGGATTTGTCTTTCCCAATGTCTTGATGGCTTTAGTCTGGTCTGGGAGTGGAGTCCACAAAGCCTGTATGGGATTAGCTCAGGACATCATTTCTCCCTAACAAAATCGCTTAAAAATTGTATCATGATTCGCATTATACATACAACCCTAGTCCTTCAGATGTTAATCTTTTGCTTAACAAAAACCAATCCATAACAAAGCACAATCTACAAATGCACAGATTAAATAATGTCGATTTCAGGCTTCTTTTCCTGTTGCACCATAGTACAAGGGCACAATTGTCTGAATGTGGCTGTTTCAGGTGACAAAGCTCACTGCGGACAAGGAAAGAGAATCTTTTTCTTTTTATGAGCCTGCTTTTAGGGTCACTCACTCCTAAGCACGCATAGCTCAGCGACTCGCCACTCGCTCCTAAAAGACGGGAAACGTGAGCCATCCCCTCTGTGCGTTGTGAGAACACAAATTAGTCAATATTCCAGTGGAAAAATCCAACTACAGTGAGTGTGAAACTGGGCGCTGGCAAAGACCTGGATAGTGGTATAAAAAAACCCAAAAAAGCCCGGCATGCTTCCCCCAGGGGCCACTTCCGCCCGGGTCACGTGCCCGCGCCAGTGCGGGCAGTGCCCTGGCTTTCCGCTCCGGCGTGGCGCTGCTGCCCTACACTTTGGGTTCCGGCCGTCCGCTCTCGCTCCCGAGCGCACTTCCGGCAGCCCTCGGGCCGGCCGCCGGCCGCCTTTGCTCCGCAGTTGTCTCCTCCCGGGCACACCTGGACGGCCGCCCGGAAGCCGTCTTGGAGTTCTGAAGCTCCTGCCCCTCCACACTCAAAACCCGTGGAGGTCGGTCTTACCCCTGCAAGGGGCGTTCGCCCTTAAAGAACCCCCCTTTCAGAAGCGGGGCGCGGGCGGGGAGGGAGCCTAGGTGTGCTGACTGCTTCTCCGCAGGTGGGTGGCCTGTTGCCAGTTCGAGTCCGTCGTGCGCTGGGAACCATCTACCTGGCCGCTCTCCCTCCCCGTCCAGCCGCCGACCATGCCCGCGGGCGTGCCCTGGCCCACCTACCTGAAAACGGTCGCCGCCAGCCTCCTGGCCATGTGCGCCGGGGCCCAAGTGGTGCACAGGTACTACCAGCCCGACCTGGTGAGTGGTGCAGGAGGGTCCTCGTTGCCCGCTTCCGAATCAGTTCATTCTCCTCGCAACAGCAAAATGAGCCTCAGACGAATTAGGGGTACGCCCCCCAAGGCCTAGAGCAGCGATTGCATGCAAAGCAGTGTATGTAGGTCCTGCGGGGTCTCACCACCAGACGCCCCCTGTTCCCGCTGTTGCAGCCACACCAGCGTCCTTGCTTCTGGTGCTCTTCCAGCCTGCCCTCTCCTCAAGGTCATGCATTTTGTTTTCCTTGGAATGCTTTTCTCACACCAGGAAAATGAATAACTATAAGAAAGTGAAAATCAAAATCAACAAAAAACTATGAACCAGAGACACTTTTAGGGGGGCGGGGGCGGGAGGGGAGGGATTGGGGTCAGAATGGGGGGGCTGCAATTGTATGGGGAATATAACAATAAAATTTATTATTTAAAAAAAAATAAAAACTGCAAGTCTGGGGCCTCCCCTGGTAGTGCAGTGGTTGAGCGCTGGGTTGCGAGGCTCTGCAGCGCCAGTTCGATCCCTGGCCACCAGCGAGGGTCCCACAAAAAACAAACAAACAAAAAAACAACTGCAAGTCTGTTCAAGTATCTTCTAGCAATGAGGGTTCCTTAGACAGCTCCTGAAGGACTGCTGCTCTGTCTTCAGTCTCAGGCCCTTGTTTCCGTAGAGCAGGGATCACAACTTGCTGTTATTTTAGTCTGTTTCTGCCACCTGAGTGTCCACTTCAGGAAGGGACTGTGTCTCCCTGGTTCACCCTTCTGTCTCATTCAAGTAGAAAGAGCTTATAATACAGTAGGTGCACAATAAATGTTTGTCGAATGAAATAGGCATTCTGAGGAAAGGGAAACTTAATCTTTATAAGCATTTATTGAGTTAGCTGTTTTGGAAAACAGCCTGGAAGTTGCTCCAACAGTTAAAGAGAGTGACCATGAGACCCAGCCATTCCACGTCTAGGTTTATTTATTTATTTTTTAAGATTTATTTATGCAAGCACTGGGTACAGTCATACGCGTGGAAGGGCGAGAGAATTCACCAGAGCCAGAGCGGGGAACAAAATGGGCAGACCGACGAAACACACTGCTGAGGGGAGCAGCGGGCACGCCATCTGGGACCCTGGCTGGTGGCCGGGGATTGAACCGGCGCTGCAGAGGCCGCGGGCAGTTTGGCAGCCCAGCGCTCGCAACCGCTGCACCACCAGGGGAGGCCCTTCACATCTAGGTTTATACCCAAGAGAAAAGAAAGCCTAGATCCATGCAAAAACTTCTACACAAATGCTCATGGAAGTAATATTCATAAAAACCAACAAGTAGTAACAACCTGCTGTCCATCACCTGACCAGTGGATAAAGGTGTGGTATAAATGTATCATGGGATGCTTTTTCACTCCTAAAAAGGGAGTGAAGGACGAATAGGTGACAACGTGGATGAGCCTGGAAAGAAGGACTAGTGAAAGTGAAAGAAACTAGCTGCAAAAGACCTCATGTTATATGATCCCACATTTACGAAACACTAGGACAGGTGCATCTAGAGAGGCAAAGTACATTAATGGCTGCTTGGGGCAGTGGCCTGGTTTTTTTTGGAAATGATGAAGAGTAGTAAAACTTAGTGTAGAGATGGACACCCGACTTTGACTATGCCAGAAGCCACCCACACTGGAGGGCAGACTGTAAATGGGTAAATGGTATGATGTGTGAAGTATGTTACAAAGTCCATTACCAAAAACAAAGTCACCCTTTCTGGCTTTTTCTGACCATCTTTCTTGAAGGCAGATTTGTATTTTTTTGGTTCCCTGCTTTATATTTGATGTCTAATAGGCACTTACTGTTTTTGAATACATGAATTGATTCCTAATACCTTTTTTCTGTGTCAGGCACATGGTGGAAGATCAGTAAATAGTGCAGGAATGAATTTTCAAATATGGAAAGCTTTATTCAAATTTGTCACCTGTGATATTGATGCAAATTCTCCCTCTGTGAGTCCTGTAGTACTTAAGACATAATCTGGGTGATAGTTACATAAATATCTTGCTAGAAAGGGATAAAGGGCACTTTTTGTTCTTTTTTAGTCTTTTACTTTTTAAAAAAAACTTTTTTTTTTAATTTATACATACAAAAACTGAGTTGTAGGCCAGAGGTGCAGGGGGGTGAGAGGATTTACCAGAAAGAGGGGAGCAGAATAGGTGGATCTACTGAAATACAGAGGAGAGGTACTGTGCTGCAGTGGCTGGCGATAGCTTGATACTGCTGAGGCTTAACCCCTTGCGCCACCAGGGAGGCCCCCTAGTCTTTACTTTCTTTGAAGACTTTCAGGTCACATTTAATTACAGTCTGAAAAAGTACTGACATTTACTTTCTTTTTATAGACAATACCTGAAATTCCACCAAAGCCTGGAGAACTCAAAACGGAGCTTTTGGGACTGAAAGAAAGACAACATGAACCTCAAATTTCCCAGCAGTAGAAAACTCAAAATACTGCTCTGGCAAGAACTTTGAATAGTATTATAAGTCTTTAATATATAAGTATTTTAAAATAGAGTTAAACTGCTTGTCCGTAAGCACCATTGCAAGAGCAGGTGCTTGGTAGATGTTAATGGAGCTCTAATTAAGGTTTGACCAGCGTTTCTTGAAAACTGCCACAGCTCATGTTTTCAACTTCTTGAATGTGGTTTGTAGATACTTAATCTTGACTAACTTATGAGATAAGAGTATTTGAGATACTGCCCTTATAATTCTGTTTTTCTCTCTGAATAAGCTTGAATATACGGCAAATGGAAAGTATTAGTGATAAGTGATATTGACAAGGAATACTTATCGTATGAAGCTAATATTTCTCTAAATATTGGAAAGTATTTGGACTAAGCAGAATAAAATTGAAATATTTAAAGCTTGAAATTCTTTTGGAATTGGGTATATTACAAAATAATAAGTTGTGACTTGGACTGCCCCAGCTCTTTATATACTCTCCAGTTTGAAAAACCACGCTGGCATTTAATTTTGCTAACTGAAAAACTGTTTGCTGATAGTAACTGTGTCCCTGAGCCTTCTGAGGTTTACCTCTGGATCAAATTCCATAGCAGCCGCTTACTTGTTTTTTTTTTTTCTTGATAAAAATTGTTGCCACAGCTGCCAGTTGCAAAGACTGCTTATCAGACTGAAAGCACTTTGATTTTTTTCTTAATTAAAGCAATTAAAAAATGGTTTCCCAAACACTAACTTAGTTATTCTAATTTAGGTACCTTCCTTCCTCAAACAATTCCCAAGAGTTTCAAGGAAGGATACTTGATGTAGTATAAATCAACAATAAACTTTTTAACTTTGATCTAGTTTCATTTGAATTTGGTAGGTAGAATTTTTCTTAATGTTAAACTAATGTTTTCAAATTCTAGTTTTCCTTGACCTTTAGTATATGAACACCAAATTGGTGAGCTTTGACCATGCATTTTCTAGAGACCAGTGGCCCCTCATCGCTTTCCAGAATGAAGGGCTGGGGACATGGCTACCCCTTGGCATGGAGAAACGCCTGTCTCTTGGGCCAGTTTGTGCAAGGGGGAGGCCACCATGCCAAGGGTGAACACAGTGGACCATGTCATAAGCACCTCATGCCTTCCTTTTACTGCTACAGTAATTGGCTATGAGGAAAAGTCATGATTTGAACCCTACTCTCACACAAGATAATGGCTTCATGAAGGTGAAAAAGTATTGTAGCTGATAAAATTTTACCTAAAGTAAAAATCCCATCATTTTACTAAGTGCTAGTTCTGAGTGACTCACCGAGATACATATTTTTCCTTTTTTGAAGTTGACCACTGTTGTGGAAAACACATTATGTCTGACATGGCTATATGTCGTCCAGATTCCCCGAAGTCCTCTGTACCAGTGCTGAGTGCTGTCAGTGAGCAGCCTTCAGAGAGTTGTTAGCTCCCGCAGGGACTGCCTGGGGGAAGAGGAGCCTTGTGTAAGTCACACCCAAAGGGGCCCGTGGCCAGTGACCAATATCTGAGGAGAAAGGTGAGCCATTTCAGCACAACACAGGAGTGGACATTCCTGAGGGGGTCCATTTTAGCTCAAGTCCCCATGGGGTTGATGAGGCTGCATTGGGGTTGACTTTGGACCTGCATTGCCGCTCAGCTCCTGTGTAGCTCAGTCCCCATTGACTTTCCTTCCACAGATGCTGATCCAAGGGCACTCCTAAGAAACACCCTGTGTACAAAACTCCATCTCAGTGCTTCAGAACCAAATCTGTGACATGTGCAAGAAGCCCGTAAAAAGATCCTAGATGATCAGGAAAATTGTGAAGTCCCTTGACAAAACGTAATGGAACATAAACATAAAAATGGATCCCACAAAATCTTCAAGTATACACAAGATCTTTGAAAATGCAGCTAAGACATTTTCCCTCTTCGGCCAATTAAGACTACCATTCTGGTTGGCAATATGACTAAAATGATTTCGCCCATAAATAGAGGAGTATGTCTCAAAGAAATTAAATGCTAGATTGGTTCCTTACTTAATAGCTATAGTTGTCTCTATAGGATCTATAGGATCATGGGTTTTTAAAGATAGCCTTTTGGGAATAAATTTAGATGATTGTTGAATTTCCTGTATACCTTTTCCTGTCTTCACAGTGGTATCCTCATTACCATGATCATGTCAAAGCTAAGAAACCAGTTAACTATACCCCAGACTTAGCTTTCCCCGCTTTTAATCAATGGCATTACATTGCATTTTCCCTCTTCAAGATTTTTTTTATGCATACAGAAACTAGGGTGTAGGCCAGAAGTGCAGGGAATGAGGATTCACCAAAGCCACAGTCAGGGGGGAGCAGAACAGGCAGATCTACTGAAATACAGTGCTGATGGGAGCAGCAGGCAGGACAGGAGAGATCTGCTGCGCCCTGTGGGTTAGCTCCCTGGCTGGGCATCAAACTCAGCAACAGTGGCTGGCCATACCTGGATAGGATTGAGACTGAACCCCAGCGCACCACCAGGGAAGTCATGCATTGCATTTAGTTGCCATGTCTAAGTATATTATTTCTTGGTTTCTACCTTGAAACTTTGTGGAAAGTATTGTTCACATATTATTTGGTTTGTCTCATATTTATGTAAGTTTATGGGTTTTTGAAAAGGTGACATGCCTTACCGCATACTAGGCACACTTGTGATACTATTAGCTTTGGTCACTTGGTGATGTCTGCCAGGTTTCTCCGCAGTAGGTAGTTGCTATTTTCCCCTTTCCCTGTACTCTGTTCTTTAGAAACAGTCCAGCCCACAATCAAAAAGGTAAAGGGGAGGGTAGATTAAAAGCCATTTTCTGGAAGGAGGAATACATGTATTCTGTAAGGAAAATTATCTTTTTTCCCTATGGGTGATCTTTCAGAACATTTGATTTTTAAAAACTTTTCAATAAATATACATTTTATTTTTTAAGGGAAAAAAACAATACATGTGATTAAAAAAAAATCAAGTAATCAGGTAGTTCTATGTGATGCATTATGAAGACAGGCAAGACACTGAGTATTTGGGACTTTTTTATTTTTATACACATGACAAGATTTTACACCAAGAATAGTCCGTTAAATAGTACAAATTTACATTCATGAGGAATGTTAAAAAAGAATTCAACTAAAAAAACCCACTTCTTCCTGTGACCCACAATCCCAATGTTTTACAGTGCAGGGGAGAAGAGGGTGGGGCGGGGCATCCAAAACAAGTCTCTCTCGCAAATGAAGCGACTTAAATTTCACATTCCCTCTCCATACAAGGTTCCCAATGGTGAGATTATAATTTACAATTCATCCTTTTCACCTGTAGATGTCTGTGAAAACAGAAAAGTCATAAGACATTAAAAAGGTATGCATTTTGTTAAGATGCTAATTTCAGATTATACTTAGATTAGTAGGTCCTATGCAACACATCTGGATATTCTATACCATGTTCCTATATTTGTTCTTATATATACACATTGTGCGTCACGGGTAGTTTATATATGAAATAAATAGCACAGTTCTAACTATTTCCATTTCGTATGTATAGGATGTATGCATATGAACTTGACTTAATATCAAATCTGTTTTGATAAAAAAAAAAAAAAGTATTAAAGGGGCCCAGCCCATTACTGTTATTTTAGCTGTAGGTAATATAACTTCTCTTTGCAAAATAGTTTAGAAGTCACCAACAAGATCAAATTGCTCCTGAACAGGAACACTGAAAAACTGACAACAGCCAAATGCTGCTGTCTATATAGTAAGGCAGAGCAAGTGGCAGAGAGCACAGAAGCACACTGGACTAAGGAAAATTCTGTTAAGCTTTTAAGAATGACAGGTTAAAATAAAGGACATAGAAAAACTGAAGTATGTACTTGAAAGAAGAAAATGATTTACTCCAGCTTTTAAATTTGTATGTTATACACAGTGCTACCTTTGCCAGAGTGTGAAGTTTACCTAACTCTGTCAGAACTAAAAATGCAAGTGCATTCTTGACTTGCTATACCTTTGCTGTTTCTTGTTCTTCTTCATCTGTTCCTGCATCCATTTCATCATCATCATCCTGGTCTGTGTCTTCTGCTGTGTCTTCTGTTGTTTCCTCAGGTTCTTCTTCGGGTTCTTCCTCCACCTAAAAACAGCATTTTATATAAGCCCATTAATGGACCTGTTAACTTGGATCTGATTTCACTTTGTTTAAATGTGTGAGATTATAATCAATTTCACTGTTTACCTGCAAGTGGAGAGTAAATTCTCTAAAACTGATACTCAAGCTAACAGAAGGGGTGAAAAAGGAATTTTTCATTAATTCCCAGCACAGTGCATTAGCAAGAGGGATTAAAATCTTCAATACTGTTTGTTACAAGACAAATTAGTCAAATTTCTCAGAGCTACCTCAATCATGGGAAACCTATTAATAAGGAAAGAAAAAAAATTTCAAAAAGCCTATGCAGGAAGGTGGGAGTACAAACCTTTGCATCAGGATCAATGTTTAAGCTGAGGCGAAGCATTCTTTCTATTCTATCTCCGTAAGCTTTAGTGTCTGGTAAATGATATCCGGATCGCAGTGTTGCAGTTTCAAACAAAACTACAGCCAGATCTGAAACTGTTTTGTCATCTTCATCTTCCTGAGATGTAAGAAGTCACACTTGTTAATATAAAGGCACAAAGTATTCAAATTACAAGACACAGGAGTATAGCTGTACAAGTACTAACCTTAACCCGTCGAAGCATGTCTTTGATCAGCGGATGTCTGGGGTTAATTTCAAATGTTTTCTTCTGGCTAGCATAGTAACTGGTAAGGGGTAAAATCATATCAAATTTTAGGGTTCAACATTTCCCTTATTTTACTACTAACTTTCATGATTACAGAGAACAAGTCTTGGAAAAATTAAGACATACTTATATGGCTAAAACAAGTCTTCCCTTTTAAAGGGGCATGGCTAGAATGAGTGAAATAAAGACAAATATTTACTAATGAATTGCAAATGCCCAGTCACCTTGTTGAGTGGCTAAACTGTTTTAGTATCTTGTTGTTCATTCCCTCTTAATATATTCTCACTACCTTAAATGACCCAGAGGTCAAAAATGTCTAGGTTGGGTCCTGCTAGTAACACCTTCTCTCACTAACTTTCTTTTACCTGAGATCAGTTCCCAATGCATTCTGAACACAGTTACATGATCTTGAATATTCTGTTGGTTCTAACTCCTTTCCTTCTTATAGCTGTAAACTGAGGACGAGGAGCCACACCTACCCCTATCCTGTTGTATCCATTATCTCTGCAGGGCTTTAGAAGATTATGACTTGATTTCTCATCTTGACTAGTCTGAATGTCCCAAAAACAGCACCAATGTCTATTTTAGATCACCAGTGGGCTCTCTAATGTCTGCTGAATGGATGGTAACTTGATAAACGTTGAAATAGGGAAAAATTTATTGACTAGCTACTATATGGTTGCAATGAGATGTCAAATATCAGAAACCTGTTCTTCTCCAACTGATAAGCTAGTCAAGGGATAAAGCATTTAAAACAAGGCAGCATTGTACTATGATATTTTTTAAAATGGAGCTTTGGAAGTGTGACAGTGGAGACTACAACTTGTGAGGAGAGGTCTAAGCTGGATCTTGGGAAAATAAGATAGCAAATAAGACATTTCAGATAGAAGAAAATTTAAAAGCAGAGAGGAAAAATTTCAAGGCCATTGTTGTGACGTTAAACCATAACCTTGAAATACATCTTAAAAGATATCTCTCTCATATGTGCCTCTTGAGTTTTGTATTTTGTGGAACATATAGCTTGAGTACCTGTAATTTAATATACTGGAAAAGGGTTATGTGTGGCGACTAGAAGGGACCTTACTCATGTGAAAAATTTAACTCTCATTAGTGTCATCTGTAACCATTATGTAAAAGAAGCGCATAATATAAGGCAAAAGTAAAAGACTGTATGTATAACAAATTAAGAATATTTTGATTTGTACATAAAGTAAAATAAATCATGAATCCAAGCCCTTCACCAATCCACTGTAAAGGCATCCTTCTGTAAGGCTGTCTGTCTAATCTACAGTAGACAGTCATGGACACATCATTTCTCTGTACGGAGATTGGCAGTGTCTTTTAAAGGAAGTCTGGACAAGAGTTAACACCTCGGCAGGGAATTTTATGAGGATGCTTACTTGGTAGAGATGTCCTTGCCCGTCTGGTACGCTTGAGCTTTCATGATTCTCTCCATGTTGCCAGACCACCCGTACTGGCTGGCCACAAGGGCGCAGGGAGACTCCGTCAGGCGCTGAGATACCACTGCCTTTTCAATCTTGGGATGAGAAATCAAAAGTTAGAGACACAAACACATACCATTGTCAGTAGCTAAGGTCACTCGGTAATTGTATTTCCTCCTCTTAAGGAGTCACCACTTAGGGTCATATACATATACATCATAAAAGTACTTTTTATTTGTAATTTTAGGAGATGTCATTTAATCTGATTTTTTTTCAGTCAGAAACAAAAACCAACTTGTAAAAACTAGAAATTATATATTTAATCTATGCAAATTTGTAATGAGAAAAGCAGTATTAAACTATGTAAAGTTTTCATTTACAAAGAAAAGATATACTGATATGCACATATAGAATAACTAGTGCTATTATCCTTTAAATTCTTTGTAATTCATACATTTTAAGCTC